TTAACAACATAAACAAGATATGAAAGATGAATGAAATACCACATAAAATTAAGCAATTCATTAACAACATAAACAACATATGAACAGATGAATGAAATGAAATACCATAAAATTAAGCAATTCATTAACAACATAAACAACATATGAACAGATGAATGAAATGAAATACCACATAAAATTAAGCAATTCATTAACAACATAAAACAACATATGAACAGATGAATGAAATGAAATACCACATAAAATTAAGCAATTCATTAACAAATATAAAACAACAATGAACAGATGAATGAAATGAAATACCACATAAAATTAAGCAATTCATTAACAACATAAACAACATATGAACAGAATGAAAATGAAATACCATAAAATTAAACGAATTCATTAACAACATAAACAACATATGAACAGATGAATGAAATGAAATACCACATAAAAAACAATTCAAACAACATAAACAACATTAACAATGAATGGAAATGAAATACCATAAAATAAATAAACAGATGAATGAAATGAAAATACCACATAAAAATTAAGCAAAACATAAACAACATATGAACAGATGAATGAAATGAAATAACATAAAATTAAGCAATTCATTAACAACATAAACAACATATGAACAAATGAATGAAATGAAATACCACATAAAATTAAGCAAACAAATTCAGATTGAAATGAACATAAACAACATATAACAACAATGAACAGATGAATGAAATACCACATAAAATTAAGAATTCATTAACAACATAAAATATGAACAGATGAATGAAATGAAATACTACATAAAATTAAGCAATTCATTAACAACATAAACAACATATGAACAGATGAATGAAATGAAATACTACATAAAATTAAACAATTCATTAACAACATAAAATTACATATGAACAGATGAATGAAAATGAAATACCACATAAAATTAAGCAATTCATTAACAACATAAAACAACATATGAACAGATGAATGAAATGAAATACCACAAAAATTAAGCAATTCATTAACAACATAAACAACATATGAACAACAATGAAAAATAACATAAATTAAGCAATTCATTAACAACATAAACAACATATGAACAGATGAAATGAAATGAAATACCACATAAAATTAAGCAATTCATTAACAACATAAACAACATATGAACAGATGAATGAAATGAAATACCACATAAAAACATATGAAACATATGAACAGATGAATGAAATACCACATAAAAATTAAGCAATTCATACAACATAAACAACATATGAACAGATGAATGAAATGAAATACCACATAAAAATTAAGAATTCATTAACAACATAAACAACATAAAAATTAAATACCAATTCATTATGAACAGATGAATGAAATGAAATACCACATAAAATTAAGCAATTCATTAAAACAAAACAACATATGAACAGATGAATGAAATGAAATACCACATAAAATTAAGCAATTCATTAACAACATAAACAACATATGAATGAAATGAAATACCACATAAAATTAAGCAATTCATTAACAAATATAAACAACATATGAACAGATGAATGAAATGAAATTACAACATATGAACATAAAATTAAGCAATTCATTAACAACATAAACAACATAAACAAATGAATGAAATGAAATATAAAATTAAGAAACATAAACAACATAGAATTCATTAACAAATGAATGAAATGAAATACCACATAAAATTAAGCAATTCATTAACAACATAAACAACATATGAACAGATGAATGAAATGAAATACCACATAAAATTAAGCAATTCATTAACATAAACAACATATGAACAGATGAATGAAATGAAATACCACATAAAATTAAGAAACAACATAAACAACCTATGAACAGATTCATTAACAACATGAAACAACATATGAACAAATGAATGAAAATACCACATAAAATTAAGCAATTCATTAACAATAAACAACATATGAACAGATGAATGAAAACCACATGAAATACAACACATAAAATAAGCAACAAACAAAACAACATATGAACAGATGAATGAAATGAAATACCACATAAAATTAAGCAATTATTAACAACATAAACAACATATAACAACCACATAAAATTAAGCAAACAATAAACAACATATGAACAGATGAATGAAATGAAATACATAAAATTAACAATTCATTAACAACATAAACAACATATGAACAGATGAATGAAATGAAATACCACATAAATTAAACAATTCATTAACAACATAAACAACATATGAACAATGAAATGAAATGAAATACCATAAAATTAAGCAATTCATTAACAACATAAACAACATATGAACAGATGAATGAAATGAAATACCACATAAAATTAAGCAATTCATTAACAAATATAAACAAAACAGATATGAACAAATGAAATGAAATGAAATACCACAAAAATTAAGCAATTCATTAACAACATAAACAACATATGAACAGATGAAATGAAATGAAATACCACATAAAAATTAAGCAATTCATTAACAACATAAAATTAACATATGAAACAAAGAAATGAAATGAAATACAAAAATTAAAAATGAAATGAAATACCACATAAAATTAAGCAAAACAACATATTAACAAAACAATAAAATAAAAATGAAATGAAATGAATACATAAAATTAAATTAAACAATTCATTAACAACATAAACAGATGAATGAATGAATGAAATGAAATACCACATAAAATTAAGCAATTCATTAAAATAAACAAATATGAACAGATGAATGAAATGAAATACCATAAAATTAAGCAATTCATTAACAACATAAACAACATATGAACAGATGAAATGAAATGAAATACCACATAAAATTAAGCAATTCATTAACAAATAAACAACATATGAACAGATGAATGAAATGAAATACATAAAATTAAGCAATTCATTAAAACATAAACAACATATGAACAGATGAATAAAATTAAGCAATTCATTAACAACATAAACAACATATGAAATGAAATGCAATTCATTAACAACATAAAACAACATATGAACAGATGAATGAAATGAAATACCAATAAAATTAAGCAATTCATTAACAACATAAAACAACATATGAACAGATGAATGAAATGAAATACCAATAAAATTGCAATTCATTAACAACATAAAACAACATATGAACAGATGAATGAAATGAAATACCACATAAAATTAAGCAATTCATTAAAATAAACAACATATGAACAGATGATGAAATGAAATACCACATAAAATTAAGTAATTCATTAACAACATAAACATATGAATAAATGAAATGAAATAAATACCACATAAAATTAAACAATTCATTAACAACATAAACAACATATGAACAGATGAATGAAATGAAATACCACATAAAATTAAGCAATTCAATAACAAACAATTAATGAAAAAATACCAAAAACATAAAAAATTGAATAAATTATTAATGAACAGATGAATGAAATGAAATACCACATAAAATTAAGCAATTCATTAACAACATAAACAAATATATGAACAGATGAATGAAATGAAATACCACATAAAATTAAGCAATTCATTAACAACATAAACAACATATAACAGAACAGAAATGAATGAAATGAAATTACATAAAATTAAAACAACATATGAACGATGAATGAAATGAAATACCACATAAAATTAAGCAATTCATTAACAACGCAAACAACATAAACAACATAAACAACATGAACAGATGAATGAAATGAAATACCACAAAATTAAGCAATTCATTAACAACATAAACAAATATATGAACAGATGAATGAAATGAAATACCACATAAAATTAAGCAATTCATTAACAACATAAACAAATATATGAACAGATGAATGAAATGAAATACCACAAAAATTAAGCAATTCATTAACAACATAAACAACATATGAACAGATGAATGAAATGAAATACAAAATTAAGCAATTCATTAACAACATAAACAACATATGAACAGATGAATGAAAATGAAATACCATAAAAATTAAGCAATTCATTAACAACATAAACAACATATGAACAGATGAATGAAATGAAATACCACATAAAATTAAGCAATTCATTAACAACATAAACAACATATGAACAGATGAATGAAATGAAATACCACATAAAATTAAGCAATTCATTAACAACATAAACAACATATGAACAGATGAATGAAAATGAAATACCACATAAAATTAAGCAATTCAAACAACATTAAATGAAATGAAGAATAAAATTAAGCAATTCATTAACAACATAAACAACATATGAACAGATGAATGAAATGAAATACCCACATAAAATTAAGCAATTCATTAACAACATAAACAACATATGAACAGATGAATGAAATGAAATACCACATAAAAATTAAGCAATTCATTAACAACATAAACAAATATATGAACAGATGAATGAAATGAAATACCACATAAAATTAAGCAATTCATTAACAACATAAACAACATATGAACAGATGAATGAAATGAAATACCACATAAAAATTAAGCAATTATTAACAACATAAACAACATATGAACAGATGAATGAATTGAAATGCCATAAAAATTAAAAGTAATTCATTAACAACATAAACAACATATGAACAGATGAATGAATTGAAATACCAACATAAAATTAAGAACAATTCATTAACAACATAAACAACATATGAACAGATGAATGAATTGAAATGCCACATAAAATTAAGCAATTCATTAACAACATAAACAACATATGAACAGATGAATGAATTGAAATGCCACATAAAATTAAGTTATTGACTTTTAAATGGAATCATCTAAGCAGATTCATCTATTTCTGATATTTTTCAAACCTGAAAATCAATTTTGACACTACACAAAATAAATCACAATGGATATAAAAATAAGTGAGATATAAGAAACCACCAAATTATATTAAAAATGTCAAGTTAAAATAAAAGAGACAAAAATCAGATGTGTAAAGAAGAAATGGGCTTTAATATTTTTGCTTACTTTGAGCTCTGAATTTTGGTGAAACTGGAGGTTTGGATTCTTCATGGATTTTCACTCTCTTAGAAAAAAAGAGGAAAAAATATTACAGAACAGAGAGAAGAAAGATTAAATAAAAAATCAATTCTTTTTCTATTTTAAGAATTATATCTAAAAAATATATACTTTTTATAAATGTGTTTCTGTTTTCAGTGAACTTTAAACATCTCAGGTAAGATAATTTAAGCAATGTATAAGCAAAAATGTATCAAAATTGAAGTCTCTTTACTGACAGTGGCAGTGACTAATTCTGTGTTGCCTTTTAACCACAAAGTTAACTAGAAGATTTTTATCATTAATACACTAAACAAATATTTTATTTTCTTGAGACAGCCAAGTTTATAACACACTCCTCTTAACAACATCAGCAGCCTCATTATCATAAGCAACAATATAGTTTTAGGTCCCTTTTTTTACCACAAAATTTAACATTTTTATTTTTGATAAATTGAACAAACTAAAAGAGACAACACAAATTAAGATAAAACCAACACCATTTAAAAATGGTAACTGCCATTGTCTGGTGGCAGTAATTCAGAAACTATAAAAAAAAAATGAAAAAACTGAAAGTTACATCTACTGATGCAGAGATTTTGATTTTTAACAATTTATTTTCTTATAAAAAAACCCAACTATTTGGTAAAGAGGAAATAAATCTGATACATACATTTATTTCGTGTGTATTTGGACTTTGGCTGGTTATGAGTTGTGGGGGTGACTCTTGCCTCTGTAAAATATGCAAGATTTATAGCATTTAATGGTCAATATCATTTCAAGGGTTAAAAAGAAAACAGAAATTATATTCTTTTTGTAAGCAAAATCTCTTCAGCTTGTTTTATACACTTTTCGCTTGTTTCTAAAAAGGGAGCTAAATCTATCATGCGAAACAGGTCAACAAATTTCAGTATAATATACAAAATGCTCTATAAAATATAATCTTGTCAAATTAACAAATTATTCTTATAGATTTTTATTTAGTGGAATTATTGTCATATTATTTTCAAATAAAATATGAATAGAAAACAACAGATAAATAAAAATTTGCTATTATAAATATTTTAATTATAACTGATATACATCTATGTGTGGTGCCAACACATAGGAGGATTATAAAGATATGCATTTGCAATACAATGAATTTGTTATGAGTTGCAATTGTTTGAAGATAATTGTGTATGAAGGTACATTGCACAGATGAATCTACACTTTTACAAATAAATAAAAACACAATTTAAATAAATGTTCTACAATTAAAAGCACAATTTAAAGAGATGATCTAAAAATAAAAACCATGGTGTACTTTACACTCATGATACAATTGAGGGACCAGAACTGGAGGCCCATTTCAAATCTCATTGTTCCACAGGAAGTGACACATTTTAGTTTTGGTTTACAGCAGTTCATTGTTGTAGTCAACTTAAGAAACTTTTGCTTTTTACACTTAGAATAACTTTAGCTTATTTAATTGAAGTAAAATTAAGATTTATTTATTTTAGTTCCTTCAGACTTGCTATATTATTTTATGTTTTCATTGCAAAAATCGTTTTTTTTTTGTGCAAAATTCACTAAAAAATGTAATTTAAGAAACCTGGTCTTGTTATGTGGAAGTTAACATTTTTTACTTACAGCCAATATACTTCTCTATGAAATTTTTATTTATGAAAGCAAATGCACTAATGGTCAACTTTATTTTTGTGAAATCTGTATTTCTCTTTGTATGCTGAATTTTTACCATCCTTTTTATACCAAAATGTAACATTTTAATTTTACTTGATTTAAAGATATAATCTATTAATCTGATTTTTCTCTAATCTTTCTTATTACAGATGTTACAAAATCTCCCCAGAAAGTTAATTATAATGTTTTATATTTAATTTTTATCTGTCTTTACTTTCAAAGACTATTTTTGATTTGGTGTTTACACTGCAAAATTTAATTAAAAATGCTATTATTTGTTACATAAATTTAATATTTCTCTATACGATGTTATTCATAACAACCAATATATTGATGAAATTTTAATTTTTTATGAATATTTTGTTTTTCTTTTGAAAGGTATTTAAAAAAGTATGTTAATTTTTAGTTTATCATTAAAAACCATAAAATAAGAGCAAATGTGATATTTTAGACTATAAAATTAATGAAAAATCATTTAAGAATGTAGTTATGTAAAGTTAATGTCATGTAATTAAATTCATTAAATTTAATCCAATATTCTTAGATATCATAAACAAGGTGTACCATACATAAATCCTAACCATGCTGCTAAACTGCACATTTTTAAGAGTTCATTTTTTCTAGGTATTTCTTTAATCATAAAAAAGCCGAATTAATTATGTTCTTAATCTCTACCTTTTCCTTTGAATTTCTTAAGCTGACTATAGCAGTGAACTACTGGAAACCCAAACCAAAACTAAAAATTGTTGCTCCTAGTGGCACAAGATTTGACACAGGCCTTCATTTCTGACCCTCAGTAGCACCATGAGTTGGCGCATCAGGAGGAATGCCCAATTTAAAGAGAGATTCTAAACTAAAAAAAAGAAAAGGAAATGGTAAATTCCATTTTGTACTTACAACTGAATTTGCTCTGGATTCAGAGTTTATCTTACGTTGTAATGCTGGCACAGGTGGGGATTTGGGCCGATTGGTCTAAAAAGAATTTTTAAATGGTCAAAACAAAAATTCATAACATAAAATGTTGCTTTGTAATAGATTAAACAATTTTTTAACAGTTAGATTTTGAAGACAGAGAAGAAAAAAATTGATTTATTTCAATTATTTTTTAGATTGTATTGTAGCATACCTATGGATGATAATGGATATGTCCCCATTCACATAAATACAGTAGTAAATACTGTATGTTGGTCTGCAGCTGGAGAATCATTGTAGAATTCACTTGACTCACTTCTAGCAGTTGACTACTTCTTCTACAGACTGCTGGTGAATCTTATATGTGTTGTTCTTGTCCTAAGTATTATTGTTGATTACCAACCTTCATGTGATTATTCTGTTTAGTAACCTTCCCTAGGTTACAACAGATTGAAACTATGTACAAAAGTCTCTAAGGTCTTTAAGATTGTTTGGAATGTTGCAGTTTATAAATGAGTTTTATATTCACATCCAAATCAAATTTAAATATGATGGTTTTGATGTGATCTGATTTAAAATTTCACCATAAAAATATGAACAAGATTTGGATTCTCACATAAGATTCTTTGGTGATCATAGGGAAAATGGGATTTTTAACAAGGAATTGACTTTTACCTGTCTCATCATATCCCTAAGTCTGGTTGAACCAGCTTAGTCAGTGCAGTTATACGGGTTAATTTTTTTATGATAGAGATCCAAATCTTATCAAGTCAGATTCTTTGCCATGACTGCTATTGAGAAAGTGAGTGGAATGGCTACACTCTGCCTCCACCATGCTTTTAAATTCAAAGTTGTCCTTCTCCTTGACTGGTTGTCAGCCAAGGCTAGAGAGCAAAGTTTGTCCTGCTATTTTATCCATAGAGGTGGGGGGAGAAGAGATGAATTCATGCCTTTTCAGTGCAACAAATTTGACAGAGATATGAACTTCAACTTGCCAATTCCATGTTTTGCTCTCATAACTCTTATTCTACCCACACATATCATATATCCTAAAGTACAAGTAATTTTAACTTAAAACACTTACAACAACTTGTGGTACATTATTCCTTATTTTCTCTTGCTGCATCTTTTCATTCTGAAATTTCTCATCTTCTTCTTTTCGCTGTTTTTCAGCAGCTTTTCTCTTCTCTTCAATTTGCCTTCTCATTTCAGCCTCAGCTTTCTTTTCCTGAAAAAGAAACATTTCTAAATGAATCGAGCAATAAAATTACTTACAAAATTCCACACAAGTATATGCACTGACAGTGACTGCATTTAACATATTATATATAAAAAAAAGTTCTGTCTATGATACTGGAAATGACATGGTTATATTATCTTTGACACTCACAGCTGAAAGAGAAAAAAAGAAAGGAAAGGAATATGGAGAGAGTATAAGGAGACAAGAAAATGACGTAAAGAAGAAATAATCATGACATTTGACACATATGCATACACAAAAAGAGAGAAAAAAAATCAGCCTAACACCAATAACTAGAGCATAAATTAATTTTTAACTTCGTACAAACATAAGGAAAGTGAGAAAATCTGCAGTCAATTGCTGAAACCTCCTTATGAGTGGACAAAATGACTACAAAAAGTTTTGTCTATGAAATTTTGGAATCATGGTACTGAATATATAGCATCAATCAGCCATGTAACAAATTTTATTTGTATTAATCTTATATATATAAGCTGAAAATATAGTTTAAGGGCATGTTATATTTATGAATAAATGTACTCAATATCAAAGTTAAAGTGTATAAATATAAGAGTTAAGACTGAGTGACAATCTGTTTCATGCTTGAATGCAATCATCAGGACATTATATATATATATATATATATATATATATATATATAGCTTGACGTGTTATACAATTTAGCTACAGAGGAAGTGCCTGGCTAGCAAAGCCAAATTACTGTTTTTAAACAACAAATTTCCCATGATTTCCCTTGAACACTCATATCTGCTTGAAGTGTATCTTAACATAAACAAATGACATCATATATTATGAAATGGACTAAGTCTGACAATTATTTTAATATATTTTCTGTTTATACATTGTTTTTATAGATACAAATATTTAAGTAAATGGTCTGTTTATAATAAACAGTATTTACTATATTTACCGGTCTGAATGCCCAAGAAATTTCATAGAAAATATGTGTCCTCCAACAGGAATCAAACCTGTACCCTAAACGGAACTGTCATATAGCCGGACATGCTATACCCTTTAACTACAGAGGAAGCGTCTAGTTAGCAAATAAACAGAGCATTTACTTAAATATTTGTATCTATAAAAATAATGTATAAACAGAAAATATATTAAAATAATTGTTGGATTTAGTCTATTTCATAATATATGCCATTTGTTTACATTAAGATACACTTTAAGCACACAAAAAGAGAAAAAAAAAATCAACCCAACACCAATAACTTATATGTGTGTGTGTGTTTATCTACAAAGTGGTTAAAGACTGTTAAGTAAATTATCATGAAGGCTATATTAATATGTATTTCATATATTTTTTTGCAAGTCTAAAGAAAGTTTAATGAAAAATGAAAAATCTCACTTCTTCAAGTTTGGCTTTTTTCTTCCTTTCTTCTTCTTCAAATTCAGCCTGCATTTTCTTTCTCTCTTCTTCTAAGCGTTTATTCACTTTCTCTTCTTCTAATCTTTCTCTCTCAGCCTCAGCCAGTTTTTGTTTTCTTTTATCAATCATCTGTAGAAATAATCATTGGTTATTAAATAATTATTAAATTAAATTTTTATTATTAAATTTATTAATTATCATATTGGAAATGATCTTTGATTATTAAAAATCATTTCCATTCATTTCTCCAGAAAATTTTCATACAGTTATTTCTTTTGTAATTCTGAATACATTTCATTTAAATGTTCAGCAATGTTTACTGTATATACTTGTGTATAAGCCTATTTCATGTATAGTGTAACCTCTTAATTTTTGCATAAATTTTAAACCCTCCAGAAAATTTTACTTGTGTATAGTGCAACTGGTCACTGAAAATGCATGGTTTTTAAACAATTACCTGTGTATAGTAAAAACCCCTATTTTTTTTTGCGTAAAAAAAGTCTTAAACTACGAGTATATACAATATATCAAATAATAAAAAATAAATATTTGAAGAATTAAGTCAGGTTTTGAAATTCAGATAGAATTTATGAAAAGAATCAGACTATTTTGGTGAATCTTAGATAATAATAATAATAATATCAGGTTGTGCTGAAAAGTTCTAGGCCCGAGTAAGTAAAAAGGGATAAAAAAAACAAAACTGTTATTTGGTCCTATTTTGGGTCAGCTGAAAACATTTAATGGATGTGCAACTGGTGTAATAATTAACAGCTTGCAATGAGAAATTGGCGAGCAGATTTCAAATTCCAGTCAAGTTCATTATATTCACTTTTTCACAAATATGAATTGATCTCTTCTCTTCACCAGCTAACAGGGCAGACTGGGTTTTCTATCTATAGTTGGCAACCAGTTTAGGTGAAGGATAACTCTAAATTCACAACTGTATGTAGGCCTGGTAAAGCATATATAAAGTTATGAAAAAGATTATTGTATTCACAATGATTATGATCTCGACTGCAGTTAGTGAAGTAGGTAGATAGGTAAGAAAACTTTTGCAGCACCCCCTCATAATAATACCAATAAAATTCTGAACCTTTCTCATAAATAGCTAAATTGTTAACAAAAGTTTTATGGGATATCTTAAAAATTATAGAATATTTCATTTACATCTTTTTGACTTTATATTCATCAGATAATTATATAAAAGATAAGTATAGGAGAAATCGAATTAGTAGGTATATGGATGCACAGGCCTAAAAATCTAATTTGTTATTATCAGGTGAATTTAGTAACTGAATTTCTAACAAAGTACATTCAAATTTTATGATTAAAATTTCAAAATAACCTGTTTTTGAAGTTCTTCTCTGTATTTATCCATAGCAGTCTTTTGAGCATCAGTCTGAAAATTGATGAATGTCCAGTGAAAAGATTTCAATATAAGCAGAAAAGGGAAAAGACATTTATAAATCAACAGAAATGTCTAAAATCTTCTATAAAACTATTTTTACCTCCTCTTGTTATAAATTTAAAATGAAAACAATTCTTTTATTTAGACCAGCATCATATAAAAAAGTATGCTATTATAGAGAGCTCCAATCTGATAACAACAGTGTCTTTGTTTTTTTTTTAATGCATAGGGTTTGTCTCATTATTTGTATACTGTTTTTGTTTTTGCAGTTGGATAAATTGTATCAAAATAATTTTTTTTCTTTTTACATTTTAGAGAAAACATCTTTTTCATAAGTATATATAAAGATAAGAATGTGGAAATAACCAAGTAGGAATTTTGTTCAGTAATTTTCAGATTATTTGATTTGATTTTTGTTTTAATTATTAACATTATTTCCAATGCATTTCTATTGTAACATCATTTGCAAAAAAATGAGTTCAATAGTCTGGACAACTGTTGAAACGATAATGAAATATTTCAAAGTTTTAAGGGGTCTATACCTTAGGTTGTCCAAATATGCCATGGCCACCTCGAGCATGGGTAGGTTCTTCATTTAGGTCTGGTAGTGTTGCCAAAAAATTGTCCGTATCAAGTTGCTGACCTTGTTGAATTTTGGCAGCAGCTTGTGACATATTCTGATCAAATGAAGCTAACTGGACATCATTTTGTTTTATTTGATAAAGATTTGCTGATAAAAGGCATTACAATGAAAACAAAGAGAAAATAGTCAATAATAATAATAGTTCATACAATTTATAATTTCTTTCATAAATAATTTATTTGTCTGTTATAATTTCCAAAATTACTTTTAATGAATTCAATCAATGCAATGACATATTATGAGCATGGCTCGTTAATAATATTTGGTTTATATGAGTCACCACTGAATTAAGTGCATTGACAAGGAAAGAGATTATATTAAAAAATAAATGTATGTGCAATATTTGTATGTGTAAATATGTTTCTTTATCATTAGGCTACCTATGTATGAGATTAATATTCACCACTGAATTAAGTGCATTGACAAAGAAGATTATGTTCAAAAATAAATATTTGTGTGTTGTGTAAATATTTGTTGTTTAATAAATGCTTTTTTTCATTAGACTCCAGTTCTATTGAGGTACCTACATATAAGATTAATATTCACCATTGAATTAAGTGCATTAACAAGGAAGCAGATTATGTTAGAAAATAAATATCTGTGTATGTAATACTTATGTTTTGTAAATAGTTTTTGCGTAATAAATGTTTTATTCATCAATTAGGCTACAGACATATTGATAAACGTCTGTATATAAATCTTATAACAGCTTCTTGACAAAATTCAAATAAGAATCTGTAATGTAATCAATCCTAACCTGGCATCTTGACTTCAGTCACTTTTCTCAACATGGAGTAGCTTCCCTCTGTCTTTTCTACAAATATTTTTGTGACAACTGCTCTGACAAGCTTTTTTCTCTGGTGCCCAGACTACATGAATTTAAAACATGCTACTAGATTGACATCTAGGTCCCACTCGTTTACTGTTGAAATAGTGAAATGCAACCACCACTTCTATTCCAACAGTTTATTTTCTCACACTTCCCACCTGTGGAACTCTCTTCTGTTTACTTGCCTTCCTGATAACTACAATCATGAAAAATTTAAATGCAACATCAATCGCCACCTTCTGTTTTCTTGAATCCTGTTCCCCTTTTGTCCTTTCTTCAATCCTCCCTATTCTCAGTCTTCTCTTTCACTCCCTATAACCCCTTTCATACTAGTAGCATTTCTGTCTTACTTGGAGTGAAATGATTAAAAAAAAAAAAAAGAAAAAACAGACATTGTCAATGGATATATCATGGCTACTACCAGCAAAAATTATGTTTGTCATTATAATTTGGATATTGATAAAAACTTAAATATTATTAGTGAATAAGCAGTAAATGAAAAAGATATGCTTTAGTGGATATTTTTAAAACCCGACTGATATCCAATAAATTGTCAGCTTTCTTGTAATATTCATAAGCTATCACTGATTCTTGGCAGTAACCCATTTTAAAGAATCATTTCTAAATGGTTATCTGTTCTGTATTATTGTGTCAACCAATGAGGTTAAATGTACAAAAAAAAAACATTTACAGTTTTTAACTTTTTATAACAATAAAATTTTATATTTACTGAAGAAAAATGTTCAGCTGTTGTGATACAAACATCAGGTAAATAGTGGAGTTAAAATCAGATGTCAGATCAGCTTAATTTTTAAATAAATTATGAGTTTACTATGAGAACCTCAAGATAAGTGCAAACATTATTTTACTTTTTCCAATCTTACCAATCTATTGGAGAAAAACTAATTTGCTTTACTCAAATAAGTTTTCTACTTTTCTCCCACTATTATTCCACAAGCAAAAAACAAGATGTGCTTTGATAGTCTTACTAAAAAGTCAAAAGAAACACTCTTAATAATAAAGTAGCTGAATGAACTTGAATTCTTATAGGAAGTTCATCTTCAGCACACACACACTTGCACAGATCTGAGGTATATTCACTTGTCTTTTGAACAATATGGTAGGGCCTGCAACATTTGAGGAAAATCCTCCAAAGTCTTTATTTGTAAGGTAAAGCTATTATTCCTAATACAATGTGGTATGATTAAAACAATAAGGATAAAAATAAAAGCAATAAAAAGGTTGAATGAGATAAGGTGAGTTAAACATGAATTGGACATCAATATTTAAATTTAAAGGCTGAGTATCTCTATATCATTAATGTATCAATTGAAACGATAACTGGTGTTTGTTGTAGTTTTCTCTCACCTTTCTCCCAGATTTTTGTATATGAGATCTGATCAAAAAGTATTGGGAATGGTGCTATAAAAAAGAAAACTACAACGTATATCAATTCGGCATTTAATCTCCTTTGAAGTAGTCCCTTTCTGAAGCCACACATCATCGTTTCCATTAAGGGATGCATTCCTGGAACTCCTATTTTGGGATAGCAAGCAGCTGCTGCCTTGTCATATTCTCTTGGATTTCCTTAATGTCATGAAATCTTGTTCCTTTTAAGTGGGATTTGATTTTGAAGAGGAAAAAGTCATAAGGGGCAAGATCTGGGGAATATAGTGGTTGTCAAACTTGGGGAATATTATCCTAAGCCAAAAACTGCTGCACAAGCCATGGTCGCTGATGGAACCTCTGTGGTATGGCAAAAGGATCACACTCTACACACTTTCCTTCCAAGCACTGCTATAAACAACAGAAGTGAGAGAGAACATTATCACTTAATGTCGATGTGCAACAGTGTTCAAGTTCAATCTGTGCCAAGTGGCTTCACTCTGCATACTTTAGCTCTGTTACCATAGCAACAGTCCCGATACATTCTGATCAGACTTCGTATAATCATTATTAGTCTGAAGAAGTTCCTTCTTGGAATGAAACGCATGACTAATAAGTTTTTCCATCTTATCATTCACTTAGCCTATATATCAATTAAGAGAAAAAAAACTTTGTTTTTATGTTCTTGGCAATAGAAACTATATGAGAAAAATCTGTTTTAAGATAAAGACACATCTAAAACAACAGCAAAATGTCACTGTGTAAAGTTCCTTTCATAGATGAAAATACCAGATTCCTTATTTTGTATGGACAGAATAAGAAGAATAATCAACCATATAAAAATATCTGTATGCCATACATTTGTACTATCACAGGACTGCATTAGGCCCTTTAAGAGACTCAGATAAAAGAAGAATGAATAAAGAAATGTAAATATCACCAATGAAGTGAATACTTAAAAATAAAATCTTTAAAATATTTAATAAATTTCTGTAAATCTTTATATCAAGAAAGAATGACCTGTTGGACTTCTAAGCCAGTCACATGTTTCCATATGAATATTTTATCCATTAAATGAAACCTTTTTGTCCACTCTTTTGATGGAAGCATAACATACAATATGTTAAACTGACCAGCATCTATTTTAATACACATCTCAAAGTTCTGTATAACTTCTATTTTGTCTCACAACTGAAGCCTGATGTTCCTGTCTGGTGACAGACCCCTTTTAGTTCCTAATGTACCAAATGAAAGAGATGTTCTTAGACATCTTGTTATTTTCTGTCTTAGTTTTGAACAGAAGACAATACAATTAGAAACTGCAACCTAACAGAACTTACAAATATCTGCATAATTGTTACTAAACTACAATCCATTGATCAAGATACACTTTAGTCATATATTTGTTTATAGATATACAAAATTATAAACTAGTAAAATAATAAAATGTAGCAAATTAAAATAATAATTTCATTTCACTGTCATCTAGTGTGATTCAAAATTCAAAATGATTATAATTTATAAAAATACTCCAATTAATCAACCCAAGATTTGAGGAAAAAAAGCCTCAATCAACAAATTACAACACACAAGATGTAGAGAAAATATTGATGGTTCACATGTCAAAACATTACATAAATGATAAAATAAAATGGGAAATTTAACTGTGGCTTTTGAAGTCTACAGCTATTTTATTACTATAGTTGGTGTGGTGAAATGAAGGTTAAAATTCAAAACATTGTCTAAATTTGTGTCTGATACTGATTTAAAAAGTCCCCAAACTGAGTTGCTTCCCTTAGTAACCAGAGTTATCATAGTCCTTTTTGGCACTTATTTTAATCTATTAAACGTATGCGCAAGACTTATATTTAGTTAAGTACTTGTGACTTTGAACCAATAAAATTACTATTATTGTGATAACGTCTCAGTAGGTTACTTTCTATGTATTAGTAATGGGTGCTTGGCTGAGTGTAAGCAATTTTTTATAAAGTTAAATTTCAAATCTAGTCAATCAAAGAGAATTAAAAAGTCATCATTTAAATAACATACCTAGTATGTTTCCACTGGAATCTTTAAGAGGTGCTCCTCCCCCACCTCGTCCAAATGGATTATATTGTTTATTTTCTTCTTCAAGCCGTTTGTCATACCTGATATAAAAAGAGAAAAAAAAAATGGAACCCATTTTTATGTAATAAACAGGACATCTTTGACAATTACTAGCTTTCATTTACAAGATGTGCAAGCCAATAGTATATTGCTAAATTAACCTATTGTATAGAGTTAAATAGGAGATTTATTTTGGGGCCAAAGAAATTTTATACATAGAAAAATTGGCAATGTTTAAACCTTGTACCTGCAAAAAAATGACGTGTCAAAAGGACTGTTATCCCTTAACACTGCTCTTACACTGTTCTTTTTACTCTCTCGGCAATGTTTGTTTTAAAAAGTGATGATTACAATTTTAATAAAACCCAAAAATATGAAAATGGATTTATACATTTTCTTTATTCTTGAGAATTAACAACAAAGATATTAACCATTATTTATTTATTTACATAGAATAATTTACAAGAATAATTTTATATTTAAATGATTAAAAAAATGTGAAATGAAACTTAACACTCTTTTAATTTTAGATTTTAGGCAAGACGACAAACACTCAATATTTTGAATGTGTATCTCCCTATTCATCAGATGGGTAAAGTTTTACTTGTGTTTCATTACAGGATGGCTGTAATCTTTACTGCAAATAGTGCATTGTAGTTGGTTTACATACTTTGATCATTTTATAATTAAAAAAAAATTTTTGAATAAAAAAATTTCTTTTCAAACTTGTTTCCTTATAAAATGGTCTTTATAAAAGATAAGTAATAAATATCACATTGTACTTGGTTCATATATTTTTATAATCTTCTAAATCAACATTGCTGTGGGAGTAAAAAAATGATGTAATAGTAACGTCTTTTTAACAAACCATTTTTTTGGCAGGCACAAAGGTTAAACATTGCTGAAAAATTCATGAAAATTTGATCAAACCCTTTAGAAGACATAACTACATACAAACACAATCTATTAGATTTATTTATTAATATATTATTTACTGAGTAAATAAAATATATACATGATAGTAGGATGTATAATAATATCTGAACAAAAGTGGAGATGATAAGACCAAGTGGAAAATCTATTTAACTATGCATTTGTAAATGCATATATGTTTTCATTTATATTTCAAATAACTGTCAGTTCGATAGTAAAAAATAACATTTTTAAAAATATGATAAATTTGAAATTATTGAATATTGTAAAAAAACATTTAAAATAGAAAATAAAATCTGTTTATAATTGTTCCAAGGGAAAAATTTAAGAACAAAATTCACCTTTCTTGTTCTTGTTTAGCTTTGAGTTTTTGAATCTTTTTCTCTTGCATCTAAAGAGAAGAAAATAAAATTTGTGTTTTACAATAAATGTAAACAGAACCTTATGACTGATCATGCCAGAAATCATGCGTTTTAAATCAGTTATAAAAGTAGATTACATCAATGAATATATGCAAAAAACATTTCGTGGGTATGATGATTGCATGATAATGTGGTTTCTGTTCTTAACAGAAATCTACATAAAAATCTCAAGTTTGAATTTCACCATGGTTGATTTGCCAGGAAGCTGGCTTTGATGTTTATTGGTCTGGGGAGGTAATCCCAACATGTGACACCTTTGGAGAGTGTCTAAAAAATCATACCATGGGGTGATCCAAGCCATGTGAGTAGATGGAACTGGCAGATTGGGTAGATGGAATTGTTCAAAACCATCATTGATGGTTGTGCTAGCACAAAGTAAAAAGTCATTATGACTGAAGGTTTGAGTGTACTGACATTGTTCAACCTGTTGATCATGTCAGGTTATGTACTTTCTCCCAAAAGCTGTAACCAAGGTCTGCTCAGTATAGTTGTCATATAAACCACAGGTGGGCTCTGTGGGTATTGAACAAATACAAAGGTGTCTGTGACAGGGATTTGCTAACAGACAGATGTGCTTGGAAAACATGAGTATCTGGCTGTATATACATAAAAATACATTTGTTCACTACCAAAAATAGTATAAAGAAAACTAAGCTTTTTATACAGTCGATTTTTTAGATTACTGTGATCTTAAGGTTTAATCCATCTTAAATAAATAAATTCTGTCTGTCGCTCAGTGTATCTGAAACCCCTCTAACTTGGGCCACACTTGCTCTACATAGACATATTATACCTTTTTGGAATCTGGATGATCTTGGGGTTGAAAATTTGCCCTTTATCTGGTGCTTAAACATCCAGCATTGGCGTTTGTATCAGAGTGCAGCTATTAACCTAGCAAAAATAAATAAATGCTTTATTTCAATTACCTGTTTTTCTAATTCTTTCATGTACTCCTGATCTCTTTTTCGTGCAGTAAGTCTGGAATCATCATTGCCAAACACCATAGCACTAGGACCGAATTTGGCAGTATTTTTCTGGTTGGGTCCAGTTGAATAGCTAAACACATTTTCAAAAAATTAAATGATAAAATAATCAGAAGTATTTCAATTTAAAGTATAATATTTTGAAAGAAATATATTTTCTATCATTATTTATAAATTTGTTGGAAATTAAAATACATTTATAGGTTTTATATAATAATCCTCAATCCTTCAAGTGATAGGATGATGATATCCACGTTGCAATGGGTAAATTGTTGCCATTTTATATTTATAATTTTGCACATATGCATTGTTTGTTTATTATTTTGTCAACTTCACAGTATAGTAGGTTTATCTGTGAGAAAAAGAGAACCATAAGACAATTCACTCCATCAGAAATTTGGAAATGTCATGCTGTACTGCTTGGCATTTGCACCAAAAGCTCCAATACAAACATTTCAGAGTATTTGGGTATCAATCTGAGGACAGTGCAGAGGATTTGGAAAATGTTAGATGAGTTTAATGGCAATTAAGAAGCTACGGCAACTCGAAAGACTCACTCTGATTCTACTGATATGGATTCCTGAATTTTTTGGTGGGAACCTCAGACTCAGCTCAGAGGCCTACATCAAGTACCTTGAGGAGGTAGTGCTACCCTGAGTCAAGAGGGTGACTGCTGGAAGACCCTACGCCTGGCAACAGGACTCTGCACCATGCCACACAAACAGGAGAACCTAGTCATTGCTGTTAAACAATTTCTGTGACCACATAACCCCTTATATCTGGCCACCTAACTCCTCAGATTGCAAGTGTGGGGTGCAGTTGAGCAAGAGACCAACAAAACTTGTAACACCAAAGATGAACTAAAGGCAAGGATTATGGTAGCATTTACCAACTTAAACAAGGAGACCGTCCAGAAGAGTTGCAGGAGATTCCAAACTTGTCTGGAGGGTGTGGTTGAAACCACTGGCAATTTTATTGAATAAATTTACCTTTTAGTATTTTAAGGTATTTTTGTGTAATTTTGGTAAATATATCTGTTAAAATGAGATGTCAGTGCTATTTTCATTTTTGTGTAATTTAGAAGACAATTTATCCATCACACCCTGTACATTTCATTGCATGTATATGACGTCTATTGTGCAGAAATGTATACTGTGAGTTAAGGGCAACATTTACAAGGAAAGTAATCTTTATCTGACACATTTTGTGATCATAAGGATTTTATAAACTAAAAATTACAAGACAACAATTTTCCAACTGAAATATCTCATTTTCATATTATGGTGAGAACAACCATTTCCATACAACAAACATTGGTATTCATTGACTGAATAGTTAGTGTTTCTCAAGTTCACTGTTATTGCTCTGTTTAGTATCGAGAGGAGTTTCTTTCCTACTCTTATTAGTTTATATTAGTATGGAAAGTCAAGATCTTGATTATATCATTATTTTCCCTTCTAGTTAAATGTGATATCCATTTTAGTTGTTGCTGATAGAAGTCTTTAAGTGGTGTTAAGGTTTTGTTACTTGGTAAAGTTCTTTATTTATGATCCATACACCAAGGTATTTGAAGTGTTTTGTATTTACTAACTCTACATCCTGAATTTCTATGATGGATTCAGGATACATACCATTGCTACTTTCATTCTAATTCTAAATCAGTTTTGAAGAGGTTTATCATAAGCCTGACTTCTTTCAGAACTTGGTAAAGTAGGTTGATTTTCTGTTCAAGATCATTCATATCTTAATTATGAATACCTATGTCATCAGCATAGACCCCCCCCCCCACTGCATCTGGCATCACTACACTGGCTTCTGGAGAGAAAACAGAAACACGGTTTTCTAATAGTAGATTTGTTTGAAATGTGATAGGGAATGCTTAAATGATCAGTGCCTATCTCTTCACATCTCTGCTTTTACATGCATTGAGCATAGTCTAGGAAGAGACTAATATGGAATGCATCATTTTGATTGATTGATTCACTTTCTATAGATTATCAACTCTTTGCAGGTTATTTAAAGCCAGAAAAAACTTTTAGATTGTAAGAATTTTAAAGTGGGAGGATAATAATGATTTAGTGATATTTACAGCATCAGGTATTCTCTGCATAATTTTCAATCATTTAGCATTTGCATACAATCCAGTGCAATTATATTTGACAAAGGATCAGTAATACGTTTATTATCTTTCAATAGAAACAGTTCTTGTTTAAAGATAAAATTTGAATTTAAAATGTGTACAAATTTTATTCTTCTCACTTTAGAAGTTAACTCTTTCTGGAGTTCCAAAGTAACAAATTAGATGTATGATATTTAAATATTTTCTTTTTAATCATTTCACTTTAAGTAATGCAATAAAGCCACTAAGACACAATATGAATGTGAGAGAATATGAGTGAAAGAAAAACATTATTAAGGAGAGCAAACAATAAAAGAACAGAAATTAAGAAAACAGAAGATAATGATTGATATTGTAATTAACATTTTAATGATCAAAGTTGACTGGAAAACAAGAAGCTGGAAGAGAGTTCCGCAAACAAGAAGTATGAGAGAAGTAACCATATAATTCTAAAGTTAATTCTATCTCTTCACTCCACCAGATATGAGTCAAATAGTAGGGTCTATTTACCCATAGCTGGGGGCATTTTCACTAAAATCATAAATATTTATCCAATATTACTATTTTATTATAACTACAAGTACCGTATATATCAATTTTACTATTTTAAAGTATTTTAATTGAAAAAAAGAAAAAAAGGAATATCAAATTTACTATTTAACAAATTCATGAATTTAAAAAAAATATTTTTTTACCTTGTTCGAGGCACATAATTTGTTTCTGCTATTTTCTTCAAGGGTGGAGTAAGAAGGCCAATGTCTACAAAATAAAAGGGCATTTAAAATCACATATATAATAAAGTTTACAAATTGTTTGAAAGGTTAACTAATTCCTTAAAGTTCATTAATTTATTTTTAGAAATGAGAGAAAAAAAAAAATTTTCATTGACTGAAAATTAAGTTTTTTTTATTCAATTCAAATATCAAATATGTTTAACTTCTGTCAGAAAATTTTAATTTGCCCTTATATCATTTTTAAATGATTTGTTAATATCTATATTTTAAAGGAGAGTTTCTTTCCAGTTTTAAATTGAAGTATTAAAAAATAAAACAAGATTATCATCTGTTTCTTAAAATTAAAAATTATTACTGATATACTTACCAGCTGCAGGTGGTAAGTCATCAAAATGACTTTTCATACCATAAAATGTGTAGGCTTTATCAACTGAATTATTTTGTCCATCAAAAAGCCTGGATAAAATAATACATTTTTAAAAATTAATAAAATAATTCTATATTTGTTTAATTTCATTACCTCCATTTTATGACTGCACTCTTGATAAAATAATAAATTGCAGAATTAACTTATTTCTTATATGCCAGGATACTTGTTGAGATGAAACAGTAAACAATTTTCAAAAGTTATTGAATAGTGGGTTTGGTTGTCATATCTTCAATATCGTTCCTACCAAAAATGTTTCTGCTTAATATGCATTCTATAAATAATATCATTCCCGGTGATGAGGAGTTGTTTCTTTTTTTTTAATTTAGGAGGAAACCTTCTCTAGTGTTGGATGAAACAAGTGGATTTTTATTGAATTTGAAAATAGATTATCAGTCCATCATGGGCTATGCACTTTTTAATCTGTTCTAATATACAGAAGTGTCCTTGATTTACTACAACAGAGTTCTGTTCCTATGATGCATCCTAACACAATTTTCCATGTAAGTCAGAACATATATGTAATTTCACTTCTATGGTGATGGACTTCCTTTTCTTCAGAGCACCACCATCAGAAGAGGTTACACTGCTCTTGGTAGCCATATTGATGAGCAATAAGTTTCCACAAATGCAACACAAACAAAAGAGAGTGAATGCACAACAATCCAATATGGAGTACAACCAGGAAACAAGATGAATGGAGATTGCGTCATAACCATGAATCATTGTAGATTGGGACTGTTGTAACCTAGGGACTTACTGTACTCTACTTAGAAAAATGAGGACCACAAATTTTACAAACAATAGTTATACTAAATGTCATTTATAAGCAAAAGTAAAACAAATATTTTTATATTATTTACTGAATAGAAATGTTTACTTCCCTTCCAGTTATTTTACAAATATTATTACATCCAAATTATCAACAAAAAGTACTTATTAAGTATTATTATTATTGCTAAAGAAATTACTTATCACTACTGAAGTTAATCTGTAAGGTTCCATGAAAGAATGTTGTCTCATAATGTCAGCAAAGAGGAAATGAAAGAACAATTGTGTTTATTATATACAGGATACAGCAGAAATACCTCCCACATAATGTTAAGATATTAGTGGCAATGCTGTCTTCATCTAACTAATGTCTTATCATTATGTGGGAGGTATTTTTGCTACACCCTGTATTTATCAATAAAGAAGGAAATGATACTGAATGTATTTGAAAAACATTTAAAGAAAAACAGATCAATTATTTTGGCATTTCCTATGTAGTATTTTGATTTAATATACTGTATATAATCAAGTATAGTGCAAGTTTTAAGATCATTTTTTTACACAATTAGAACTAATGCAATGCAATATTTATCATTTATGAATTTATAGATAAATAAATCATAAATGTGAAAATAATTTTTATTCATAAATTTCTAAACATTTACTAAATTATTAAAATATGTGAACCAACTATAAAAAAAATCTTTATTATTTACCATTTTATAAAATTTGAATCAATTGATGTTTTGCCAACCATTCCAATAAATAATGTAATAAATGAATATTGTAAATTAACAATATAATAAATAAATAGTGCTTATTATTTTTGTTGTAAATTCTCAAGAAGAAATAAAATGTATAAATTCACTTTCATAATATGTTTATTTTCTATTACAATTTTAATCATCACTCTAAACATTGCCAAAGAGTGAAGGTAGTTAAAAAAGCAATTTCAAAGGAAAAACCATCTGTCTTACTGTGGTCATGTTTATCCATTCTTTGACATATAAAAATGAAAAATGAACAATTATTAAAAAAGAAGTTCTTTATTAATTTTTTATAATATTATATTATAATTTTTTATCTCACAATATTTTCATATTTCATTCTATAATTGTTAAATAAGCAGGATAAATGAAGAGTAAAGAATTAAATTCTCTTGAAATTTGAATTTACATCTCCTATCCTTGGAAATTTGTCATGTTTTAAGACAGCATCTTGCTGATTAGCCAATAAAATCAACAAAATGACATGTAAAGAAAAACTAGTCAAAAATTAATAACAAAATTTAATCTTAGGAATTTGGATAATTTAAAATGCTTATATCAACAGCTAAAAGAAATTGTTTCTTATATATTTTCATATATAAAGAAATTTTCATAAAAATTGTAATACATACAATTGGTCATACATAAAGTTAGGAGCAAAGTTGTTTGTGATATTTTGTCTTTGGTTTTGATCAAGATTTTGCCCAAGAAGTAGATTAAGATCAGATGCTCGTTGTAATTGTTCAAATTTCCTAGGATTAATTGGTTGACTGTAATAAATGAAAACCAGAAACCAATAAATATCTATATATGAGATATTGTAAATCATAAATAATAAAAACTGTTTCAAATATATACTTCAGAATTATTATTTATGAGAAAATTTCTAAGATTAATTGCCTGTATCATATTTTATTCTTCATTTTTATTTTGCTTTGTTCCCAAGCAGAAGGTTATTCCAAATTAATGCAATACACCCCTGTTCTAATTTATTATTTGTCATGAAATTAATACATCTTTTAAAAGTAATGTTATTTTACTGGTGTATTTATAAAATAAACACTTAAATAAACAAATCAGTGATATAATTTTTAAGAATCCCGACAATAATTTGATAAAAATATTTCCTTGGATTAGATCTCAATATTTATATTCATCACGTTCTATTAGTATTGAAAATGTTTTAAAAAATTAACAAATCATTTTTAATGAAATGAATGAATATAAAAAGAAAATCAAATATTTACATGCAAGTTTTTAAAAGAATAAATGATAATTGAAAAGAATATTGCAATATATTACACCTTAAATTTATTCATATATTGAAAAATTTGGATCTCTTTCAAAATTCATAATAATAATCTTGATCATAGCAAAAGCAAACATCAATAAAAATTTGTATGACATTCTTATACAGTGACCTTTGTATGGAAGGGTGTTCCAATAACTTGGACCAAATTTAAATGTGAATTAATCTTAAGTGTCTAATGATGTTTTTCTTTTTCTTTAAGATTTAACAACTTAAATCTTTGGCAATTTCAACCATGGAAAGATTAACAATCAAAAACTTGATTTTATCAAGAATCTCTAAATACATAGTAGAATCACCAGACCAGATGTGACAACAATATTCAATGCATGGACAAATATGATTATTTATTTTTGGACTAATGTCCTCATCTTTGCTGTTATTATCACAACATCCTAGCTGTTGTAACCTCCAGCCTAAATTTATTTATTTAAATTTTTTAAAGAATTTTCAAGAAATTTTATGTACTCTAACAAATACTTTCAATGATTTAGTATTTTTGTTAGTTATTTATTTCTATTTATGTCTAAGATATTTTATATTGATCATCTGATTTGATAGGGATTGTATTTATAGTTAATTTGTGGTACTAGTTATATTTGAAATTACAGTATTTTAGTCTATGAGGATTTATGCTTATAAGTTTACTGTAGATTGATTTTACCACTTTGGATAATTGTACCAAGAGAAATATTCTCTTTAAAAAGCAACACTTGTATCTGCAGATATACTATAAAATCATAAAATTACCTGAGATGATCCATTTCAAATTCTGGTGGTGGTGGTGGTTGTGGTGGTAGAGGATAAGGATTCTGTTTTTCAGATGGAAAAATTAGATTAGCATCATAAGGGAATTGCTGGGCTAATTGCTTCTCTCGTCTATAAAAGACAAAACAAAACTAATCAGAAAAATTAAAAGATGATTCTCACATTTTATCTGTAGTGAGTCCCTATAAAAATAAAATATATAAACAAAAATAAAAAGAATTCAAATTAAAATAAGGCATTTGCACTTTCCTTTGAAATCCTTATCTCTTTCTTTCTCTCTCCAAACTTCTTTTTTATACTTCTCTCTCAACTAATAAGAAGGCAACCCTCAAATAAAAAGAGAGAGAAGAAGAAAAGACTGAACCTGGCTGAAAAATGTCAGAAGTTTGCAGGAGCAGAGCCTACTTATTTGCGACTGAAAAATACCAAAAATCAAGGAAGCTCCACACATAAATTCCAGAACAAGGAAGAAAAAAGGAACGAATGCCAGACAATAAAATAATTTGGGCCAATCAAAAAAATTGACACAAAGAGACTTCTGATGTTAGCTGAAACCAAAGTTCCAGACAGAAACTCAGAGTTTGGTCAAAAGTATATAAAGCTGACACCACTTAGCTAGAAGCAAAAAGGATGATGAGATAATGGAACAAAAGATGCTAACACTAGAGAAACCAGACATGCATGAAGAAGTAGTTAAGAGGTCATCTGCTAATGATATTTTTGCCTTGCTTAGGGCCAAGTAAAACATAGTAGATTGACAGTGACCTATTTCTAAGATTACTACTATCCCTATCATGGTCTGACTTCAAACTACCACTAATGGACATTTCTTTAGATTGCTACCAATATCTGCCTTATTAATAAACTTTTTGCTACATTGAACACCAAAAAACTCACTCATCACTCTAAAGAAAATAAATTAAAACATATTATTTATTTTAAACCCTCAAGTCAGTTCATTTTATTCCAAAGTTCCAGTAAAGAAAATTCTACCAATACAATAACCACATTATAATTATATCAGTTATGTGAATAATACATCAAACTGGAAGCAATCAATCAAAAATCATTTATACATTGTTCAAGGATCAATGTAAATATCTGTAACAGGTCAGTGGCCCTTGTTGAATACTTGTGCAATGAAAGTGGTTAGTGACTTGAAGTATTGAAAGAATTGATAATTTTAAGCAAAGGAATAGAAATATTAAAAGGAGAAAAATATGGAAGAGTGGTTATTTAGATTGGAATTTGGTGCAAAAAAGTCCAGTTTAGAAATATCAATTTAAAACTATAAAATACTTATAAGACTTTAGAAGAGTTTGAACTCAAATTAAACTAAGTAAGATTTATTAAGATTCAGTATAACTGACACCCCAGTTCCAACTCCAAGGAAGTTGGCATGACAGGACTAATGAGTTTGCCAGGATTTTTTATCACACTAGAGTTTGTTTATTTAGAAACCTATCCATCATATTTGCATCAATTTCCATGTAATTTAGAAAAACTTAAAAACCCAGACCCAAACTGAAAAACACTTGGTAGACGACCATCTGGTTTACTTATAGAAGGTTCTTTGTTTGAGATGCTAATTAATCTTGTATATTTCCCAAATGGAAGTCTATAAAAATGGAATATGCATACATAGGAATCAGTTGGAGTAAGAGTTAAACAATGAGTTAGTTCAGTTAGAGTCAGATGGTTGGGATGCCTACAAAGAGAAAACCAGCATGCCCTGTTCAAACATCAAGGATTAGAAAAAGTCTACCATATAAGTAATTCACTACTAAGATGTTAGCACTATCAGCATTACTTACCAAACAGATGTCTCTCAGTACCTCAAGGGTAGAAAAGGAAGAATTTGAATGAAGCAGCCCCATAGCTGTTGTACAATTTTGCATTTCACCTCTAATTAAATTGTTACTAATTTTTTTTTACTTCTGAGTGGCACATTTACTACTTTTGAGCTGGATTGCCAGTCAATCAAATTCTCAATCAGACCAACAAAAAACCACTGTTCATTAATTTCTTACAAGTGTACAATGAATTGAATCCACTAGATGACACACCCTGGTGAAGGAAAAGAAACCAATGAGGTTGATTGCACTGAACATAAGACATCTTCACTGAAGTGTAGCAATAAGTACAGGTTATGTCTGGTGGTTGCCAGGGGTTGATATAGAAGAATTGGTTTCAAGATTATGCATTGAAAAGGAAAATTAGATTGTAAACATAGTTTTTGTAACTTAATCATTAGATTTAATGAAAATATATAAATGGTTATATGATTACATCTTTGCATATAATAATGCTATTCAAGTACCATGTCCAATTAATATGGTTTAAGATGTAAATTTTCATATTGCTTCTCATATCAATAAAATATAAAGCCTCATTTACTTTCTAGTAATCATCTTATTAAATATCCTCTTCATAAAAACTGATATTCATTTAATCTCTTTTGTAGTTTTTGAGGAGGTGCATGCAATGTATTGGTTAACAATGCTGAATTCAAATGCTGGTTGAGTTTGTTGCATTTACTTTCATATAGATACAATTCTATCTGTTCTAAGGGTTACATAGTAGGGTAGACTGTGCTCTCTAGCCTTGGTTGGCAACCAGTCTAAGAAAAGGACATCTCTGAATTCAAACCAGTTGGGTGTGGGGCTAGCAACTCTATTCCATGAAAAACCCTATTTGCCATGGCAACCACAGCAGCAACACCTAGTACGGTGAGCCTGTAGCCCTATTCTCCACAGTTGAGTCTAATGGTGCTAAGGAGAAGTTCTGGAATCACTGCAAAACACTGAATTTTCTATTGTATGTTTAGAGATTTTGGCTTTCATGCATGTTTCAGCTTTTGTAACTTTTTTCTTCTCTTTTAAACTGAATAGTCAACAAGAAGGTGGTTGCTTCAAAGTAAAATTCAAATCATTCAGGTGGAAAAATTAATGAGGCAATATTCAAAGATAACTGAATTAACATTTAATTTTTATCATTAAATTCTCTGAATATTATAGCAAACTTCATTCATGAACACATAATTTTTTTTTAATCAATTCACCCTAAGCAAGACGATAATGCCACTAAGATGCAAGAAGCAACTAGGAGTGAAAGAGAATAAAAAGATTTTAGAACAAACCGGAAACCCAATCCTAAACATGGAAGAAGGGATAAGCATCTACTCCTGTTAGAAAGACTGGGGAGGAGCATGAACCTATCTAATCCTAATGAGGAAAAATAAATAAATAAATAGTAGATAAAATTTCAGCATTTAGGTGGAGATGTTAAAAGTAGAAAGTTAAAGTAGACTTTAGATGGAACTGGAAACCCAATCCTAAACAGGAAACAAGGGATAAACCTACTCCTGTTCAAAAGATCAGGGAGGAGTCTGCTATCTAATTCAAAATACAAATACAAATATTGTAAAAAATGGTTAAAATGGAGAAATTGTTTTAGTATCATTTTTTTCATTGATAAAATTTCATTGATAAAAATTACTGAATGAAAATTATAATCCTGATTTTCCGTTTTATTTGTAAAAATCAGAAATATGACATTAATCAATAAATATTATCTTTTCTGTTTAGATATACAATAATTGATCAATAAATCCATAACCTGAATTCTTATCTGAAATCTTCATTGTATAATGTTTAATTTATGTAATTAATATTCACCAGTAACTTAAATGCATTGACAAGAAAGGAAATTATGTTAGAAAATAAATACATGTAGTGTGAAATAAATGTTTTTCTTATCCTTAGTCTCTAGATCTATTGATATACCTAGATAGAAAGCCACTGTAGGTAAGAAATATGTTTACTAATTCACCAATAATGTTTTTAAAAGATGTCACCACCAAACTCCCAATTTTTCCATGACTGCAGTAAATTTTTCTGATTTGAAGATATAATAACTTACAGACGCATTTCATTTCTTTCTCTTATCTGTTTTTGGAGTTCTTCTCTGTAATTATGTTTCTGACGCTGTTTAGTACCATCTTGATTATTACCTGAAATATATAAATATATACATAATCATTATCATTGTGTCTAAAATGATTTTCTATCTTGTTTTCAGTCAACTTTGATCTTCAAAAATTTAAACAGAATGGCCATTGTTATCTTCTGTCTTCTCAATTCCAGTTTTTTTATTGTTCTCTCTCCTTAATAAGGTTTTCTTTTTGTTATATTCTCTCACACAGAGTGACGCCTTGCATCTTAGTGGCTTTATTCTCTAACTTAGAGTGACCTTCTTTACAAGTACACTTACTATAATTTCAAAGCTTCAAACCAGGGTGATTTTCATTTTTTTAATCATTTTACCTTAAGCAAGACAATAGAGTCACTAAGATTCAATCAGTTACTAAGTGTTACAGGATATAAGAAAAAAAACACTATTAAAGAGGGAGAATAATTAAATGAAAAAGAATTATGAAGACAGAAGATAACGATTGACATTGCATTTAAATTTTTGAAGATCAAAGTTGACTGGGAAGCAAGAAGCCAGAAGAGATTTTCACAAGTGAGAAGTGTGGTTAAAAAAAAAACTATTTTATTATAGGCTTCTTCTTCTATGTACTGTGTTCTGTGGGCAATCATGGCTCTGCGCAACATCCTATCTCTTATAGCTCTTAATAATGTTTGTCCCTTTGCCAAGCTCCCCACATTCTGCCATCCATTCACACAAGCTCATCAGCTAAGTGACCAGTTGCTAGCTCTTTGTTTCATTTGTCTTATGAATGTCAAATTCTCCAAGCCTTTCTTCCTCATTATGTACCTAAGAAATTCCACCTATCTCTTTCTTATTCTGAGTATAAGTGTCCCTTTTGTTTCCATTTTCATTAAGATGTCTTTGCTGCTTACACACCCATTTGTGATTATTCATTCACAGTATCCTTATGTAGAATAACATCTGTTGTTTTCTCTTCGTCTATCAGGAGATTGTCCAGTGTTCAATCTCTTACAAGAGAATTGATATTATATAACAGTTCAGTACTCTTTTCTTTGTTTCTAGCAAAATTTCCCTGTACTTTTCTTAGCTTTTGGAATGCATCTTTTGCTATTCCAATACGCCTTTGGATTTTGGTGTCGCATTTCTCATCCTCCATTAAAACACTTCCCAGATATTTCAACGTTTGTACTTGTTTGATGTTCATATCTCCAATTCATAGTTCACATCTTGGGGTTTTTCTTTTGCTGACAACCATACAATCTGCATTATAGGTTTAGGTATTTGTGGAAGTGTTTTCCAGACCCAACACCACTTAAGCTTCTCGGCTGACGCGCACAAAAGGAAAAAGAAGAGTGATCGGTTATATCACTTGAACAGACCCTTACAAACTAGGACAGTCCTGACCAAACCATAATATCGAGTAAACCTATTTAAAAGTTAATTTAGAACATTTTTGCAACATACAAATTTCTAAATAATTTTTCCAACTGACAAACAATAAAAGCAATATTAGAAACAACACCATTACTTATTCAATACTGACAGCTTGGTTAGTTAAGCTATGAATTTCTAATCTAGAAAGTACAAAGATAGTTGAGAGAAGAAGGTGAAATGAATATACTAAATTCTCCAACATTTATAGTAAACTAAACTGAAATTTAAATGATATTCTCAAATGATACTCTTTCAAGAACTAATTGCAACAGTGCTTAGCTTTGAGTTTTGCCAAATGAGAATTTTTCAATATTAAACTCAACAAAAATTAATTCTTGTATAATTTTTAACTTAAACCTATTCATATGACTTCAATATTTAACTTACAGAATGAATGCATACATTGTCTTAGTACTTATTAAAAGAAAATTTTAAATCTTTTAAATACTTGCACTTAATCTGATGCAATATTTACAGTCTGTCTGAAGTTATTATGCAAATCACATAACTTCAATTTGCTTTGAAAAAATCTTTGTCAAATTTTAAACAATTAATTTCATTGTCAAAACAAAGTGTGAGTTAAATTTTTAGGTAGTTTCAGCATTTTTTATTATTGATGTCTTAAGCAATTTCGAGTTATTGGGGTTTATGTGATTTGTGTAATAATTTCAGACGAACTGAAGAAATTTTATCATGTAAAGATATTTATAACTGTAAATAAACATAGTATATCTATTTTTAAATGCAAATATAAATCTTATAAAATACTGATTAGAGTTAATTGAAAAAAATTAAACAAATTTATAGATCTAAGTTGAAAAAGCACATTAGCATTCATAGATTTTTTAAAAGATTTATTGTTTTTCTACATTTATTTTATTAATTATGAGAATAACAACAAAAATAATCCTTTACCAATTGGTAATGTAGCATAGGTTTCTGTTTTATTTTCTGGTAACTTATTGGCATGTGTTAAAACTGGGTCTTTTATAAAATGTTGGTTGCCTGAATGGTGGGGACCATGGCTTTTCCTTTCTTCGTTATTTAGTGCACTTTTCATGTAATCCTCAGGCATCATTAAAGTAGACCGGGCTGAACTTGGTCCTATTTTCTGGAAAAAAAAAACATAAAATGTTTACAAATAAATCAATCTAATTTCCTACACTAATGACTAAATTGCCATTTTCAGATACTTTCTTACCTAACCAGTTTTAACAATATTTCTTAAAATGTAACCTAACAGCCACTGCTGCTTACAGAGAAATGGCTGGAAGGACTTAATATAAATTGACTTTAAAACCATAGAGTGAGAATCAGAGTTAGCTTACCTCAATACTGAGAAAATCTTGTTTATAAGACTTGGCACATTGGTAGTCATTTAATAAATGCTCAGTTATTGCTGACCCAGACAAATTAATGCACAATGCAAATTGTCCAAAATGCCTTTCCAAATATTGGCTGATATATGCTGATTAATCTTTGCTTAAAACCTCTGACTGGTTTTAACATAATATTGCAAAATGGTAAAATAAAGAACTAATATGCTAGGAAGGTAGAACATCCTTCCAGAGTGATCTTAACATTGGTCAGGCAGTAAAGAATATAAAAGAATACTTGCATTAATTCCTAACTACTGATAATTCCTTTCTTTTTCATTGCATTTCTACTACAAAATTCTTTGCAAGTTTGTTCCATATCAAAATGATATTTCTCAGCTGACTAGATTGTCTGTAAAATCAAAGTTGTACTTAACATAGGAAAAATGAAGCCAAGCAAAAATTATAATTCCAAATTACCAATCACAAGAGAATGCAGAACCTTTTCAGTTGTCAGATGAAACTTTTTCACTTTATAGCATAAGTTTTTAGATCTTTGCACAAAAAAGACAATCTTTAAATCATAGAATCTTCAGCATTCAATTATATATAAAGATATCATTTATAAACTCAGATAACCATAATTGCTTATTGTTAATTCATTTAAATAATGTTTCATATACGAAAAATTGTATTTGAAGTTTTACTTGAAGACTTCTAACAGCAACAATAAATAAAAATGGATAGCACATGTAACTAGAAGGGAAAATAATGAAACCGACTTTCCACACTACCTTAAAGAAAAGGTTTGGAAGGAAACTCCCATCAATACAGTAACAGGAGACTTGAGAAGTCTAATTTCTTGAAAAACTGTTTTAAGAAAATGCAATTAAACTTCAATCAACCTGTAACACTGATGGTTTGGCTAATGAATACCAAATGTTTTCTGTATGTAAATGGCTAATATCACCATTACCATTAGAAAGAAAACATTTAAATACCTGTGGATTTTCCCGAAGTCTAGACCAAAGAGGATCTTCAAAGATGTTATTTGAAACAGGAGGAAGTGATGAAGGTCTTAATCTATTCTCGATTTCTTCATGCAGGTTTGGTTGGGACAATCTGAAAAGAATAAAGATTAAATATTATATTTAATTAAATTGATTCAAGCTTAAATAGGTTTTGACTAGTCAATATTTCAAATAAAACCATGTAATTTTCCAGCATCATTAAATGAAATTGCCACAAGAAAAAATGAACTGATAGAATATGAACAATTGTTGTATCTGGAATTCATCAAAGGTAACTTCTTTTCTAATGTTTGTATGACAAAAAGAAAAAAAAGCAAGAGAAATACAAGATTACATTGTATTCAAACATTTTGAGAATCTAAACCAGCAGTAAGCTGAATGAATTAAATACTGTCCGTCTATTTTATTTTTATCAATTTTACATTATAAAGTAAGTAATAAGACAATTCAACAAAGTAGATAATGGCTCATAGAATTTTAAAAAAATGAAAAATCACCTATCTCTTCTATAAATCAATCAAATGACAGAATTTTAAAGTCCTTATTTCAGGTAAAATATGGAGACATATATAATGGTTATATTGTTGTCAGTTAGGTTTTTGGTAAGAAACCTGACTTATTCCCTAACAAGCAAATGAGTTTATAATAAAGAACTTAACATCTCACTCAGAATCTCTCTGGCAAAATGTTACAGCCAAACCAAACAATACACACCAATCTTTTTGAGTTAGAACGAGAACTTAAAAATGTAACACCTTCAGCATCTTCTCAATTCAAAGAATAATTTAAAAAAAAACTCTGCAAATCATCTACGATAATCAAATTTGAATTTTTTTTTAAACAACAGAAGAAATATCAAACAGTATTCATCTTAAAACAAAATCTCATAAGCTAAACCTAATAAACTTTATTTTAAACTAAGAATATGTATACATAAAAGATTTGGTTTCTTCCTTCACCCACTTCCCTAAATCCCCCAGTGAACTCTATACAGAGCCTACTAACAGAGTAGTGTTATACAGTGTGAAAATTACTTGACATATGAAACTGACAGTCATTATGCATTGCTGATTCCTCTCTATAATTAGGTAAAAATATATAAATACTGATTTTTATCAGTAAATTAAAAATATTTTCATTACATACATACCTTGCTGAATATTCATTTGCCAGATCTTTTAAATCCATATCATACTAGAAAAAGAAAAGTCAGATTATAGTAAGGGAAAAATTTGGTGTCATACACTTTATTTTAGATTAGTTTTAAGATTAACATTTTAATGTTAATTATGCTAATCTAATAGAAAAATTACCCAATCATATTTTGAAGTTTATCCCCAACAAAATGACAAATCAATGCTTCTAATTATCAATGATCTTTTTGCATATACATATTTTCTCTCTTCTCTCCTAAAATATCTGTATTATAAAATTTCCACTGGGTACAGACATTAGTTATAAAGCTTCAAAATTTCTCTACTGGAAGGTCCAAGAGATAAAAGTCATATTCTCTTTTTCAGTGGAAGAAACAAGAAAGCTACACAGATGAATAGATTACAGAAAATTAACTGATATCAAATATTCCTAAAACATGAAAAGCAGATGAGAATAATTTATCCCTGTTGAGAGACTAACAAACATTTGAAGAATTCAGTTTCGTAAAGACAAAGCTAAAAAATATTAAAATATTTTAGATGAAGCCCTTTTTATTATTAATTTTTAACTAGATTTTCTTTTCATTTTTATTTTTGCTTTTTATTACAACACTCAGGGTGCTTTGAAATTTTATAAATCTTAAGTAAGCAGCATGAATTGGAAATAAAGTAGTCTCCAACAAGATTTGAACTTAGATGCTGTATCCAATGGGGCTCATTTGACATGGTATAAATACTGTGACATGGAGAATATCAGATAAAGAATGTAACTGAATTTGAATTTCACCTGCTAATGGGTTTCCATGACCAAGTTGGTAAAGTGTTGTCCGTGTTGCCAAATACCTCAGAATGTGAGTTCAAATCTCAATCAAAGTTAATTCTTTATGTCTCATTCTCATTATTTACTTATTTATAGTAAAAAAAATGTAAAAGAAACTGATCATTTCAACAAAAAGCAAGAATAAAAATAAACGGAAAGACTATGAAAAAATTATTATATTTTTCCAGTGTGAAAAATACTATTTTTTGCCTGAAAATCTTGAAAATTTATCTTATATTCTACAGAAAAAAGGTTTCGTTTTTATCAGAGTTAATGTTATATTTTTTCTCCCATCAACATAAAAAAAGTTTACATATTGGAGCATGTCCTTGACACTGGGAAATATGGTAAGAATGGTTGTAAACATACATCAAAGTATTTATAAAATTCACAGGTAGATTGTATGTATTTCAAATATGAAACATTGGCCTATTATAGATCTTATTTAATTCTAGTCACATGTTATTCTTTTCAATTTTCTTGATTTTCTGTTTATTCTTTGATTTCTTTTAACTACTATGGAATTTAAAGTTGTGCAGGTGTGTACATATTCACATATAAACAATTAACCTAGCAGCAACAAAAGCTTGGGTTTCTACTATAGACCATTTATTCTTTTTTTTTTTTTTTTTTTATAGAAACTGTAGGGGAATGTTCCTTGGGTATATGTGTTTTCTTTTTAGGATCCAGAAGTTAGGTTAAGTAATGATAAGCATACTTATAATGGCTTAGCTTAGCATTGTGCTGAGTTGAACAATCAAAGTAAAGTTAGTGATTACTTCATTGGTGCAGTTTATTAATTATTATTTGTACTTAAGTAGTCAATTACAATAATTTAGAAAGATTTAATGTCATTCATTTAATGTAAATTTAATATTTAAACAATTAGGTTATTAAATTTTTAACAAACTTTTAATCAGCTTTTAATAAACTTAATAATATTTAATAAGCTTTTAATAATCACTTAGTTGCAATTAAGTCATTAAATTTTTAATGAACTTTTAATAAGCTTTTAATAATCATTTAGTTGTAATTAAGTCATTAAATTTTTAATAAGCTTTTGCTAGCTGCCACAGTTCATAAGGATTCTGAGGAAGGAAAAATTAGTGTTTTCCAAAAACTCATTTTCAGATATTTCCATATATGGCCAACTAGAGAAATTTATGGCTTTTTTCTCTTATAAATAAAAGTTTTAAATAAATTTTCATATCCGTGAAGTTTGAGAAATTTGAAAAGCAGATATAATGTGAATGTAATACAAACTCTTGTTGTTATCCTTTGTAAGCAAATGTACAAACAGCATGCAAGGGACAAAAGAAAGAAAAAACAAAACAAGTTATGTTTAATATGTGCTAAGAGGGCCAGAACTAACTACCTTCCAACCACCTGAATGGGTGGGGGAACCCAAGCCTGTTGTGGGAGTAGAGGGAGGAGGCCTGTATCATAGATTCCAGAGGTGGGGTGAGCCCCTGGCACTGGTACTGTGTGTTAATCATTTTGCATGTTGCTAACTGATTAATGTGACCAATATAAAATGAAATAGAATCAATAATTTGGTAATAAACAGAACGTACATGGTTCACAGCTTTCTCACTTGCAGAAGTTTTTGATCTTGAAAGAGGATAATCAGAATTATAATCAGCACTCCTGAAACCAAAAATAAAATGGCACTCACAAAAAATATAAACTGTTGAAACATGCATAAATTAAAAAAATGAGACACAAGAAAATTTTTGTCAATATATATATATATATATATATATATATATATATATATCCAAACAAGTTTGATTAAAAAAAACCAACAAGGTCTGTTTAATTTTTTTTTTTTTATATATTTTTCCAATCTTAGAATAAGGTGTTGAGTATTGTGCTTGATGTTGTGGATAAGATGTCTGAAGTTCATATTTTGTTGAAATATTTTCAACCATCACAGTCATCATCAAGAATGAGTGTGATGCCTGTGCAGTAAATAGAATTCATTTGTCTACATACTGGTATTTTTTGAGATGCTAGAAGTTTGAAATAGTCTTATATGACAAGAGGTAGAAGATATTATTATACAAAATAAACAGCCTACATTAAATAAAATATCATTCACCATAGGATAAGGTATCTTGAAGTGCATATGATATGATTAATGTGCACATATATTAGCATAAAAAAGTACAAATAAATGAATAAAATAATAAAATAAAATGAATTGTCTTCTTTTTGTGCAGCTTCGTTCCTACTGTTACACATAACGTGATGTTAGACTATTTCAAACTTCCAGCTTCCCAAAGAATACTAGGATGTAGACAAAGGAATTCATAGACACCACATTGGTTCTTGATAAAGACTGTGATGGTTGAAAGTACCTGAAGAAAACAAAAAAAATATGAACTTCAAACAGTTTATCCATAATTTCAAACAATACTTCACACCTTATTTGAAAGTTGGAAAAATATAATAAAAAAATTAAACAGCCAGACCTTTGCTCTTTTTAATTAAACTTGCTTGGATGAATATTTGTTGCTTATGATAAAAATATAATTTTAGTGTATGCTATATTTATGGGTAATCAGAGATAGAATGTATACAATATAAAAGCAGACACTGAGGTCAACAACAAGCCTGAATATTGCATTGAAGCATGAAACTGATTGTTGGCACATGATTGTTGACCTGTGTCCAGTTTTTTATATATATATATATATATATATATATATATATATATATATATATATATATATATATGTGTGTGTGTGTGTGTGTGTGTGTGGGGTGTTATTGAAGGTGAAAAGAAAAGACAATGATTCATGATTAAATGGCACATTTTTATGATCTAATGTGAAGAAAGAGGTAATTTTATCCTTTACAGGAACATTTGTATATGAAGATTTTATATCTGGTCATATATTTGGTTTTTTAAGTTTGTGTTTTTTAATTTTACTTTTCAATTTAGAGTTTTTTATATGTCAACAACAGGCAATATAAAATGGTTTAAACTTTCCACAGCAAGATTTTACAGTATGGCCCCAGCTTTGATGTTTTCAAAAACCAGCCAAATTTAATTGAAAATAAGTGCAATTTGATTGGATGCTGAATCTTGATTTTTTTTAACCAATGGGGATAAAAAATATAGCCTCCCTAAGGAATTGATTTATGAGTTAGTTTTGATTCACATGTTTGCTATATAAGAGAGAAAAAGTACTGCAAAAGTAAAAACAGATAGACCAGAAAGGAATAAACAGAATCAGGCAACTGCTGTAGAGAAGGGATTAGGCCATTAGGTGAAAGGCTATCATCAGGTAGAAAGGTTTAACCATCTCAGTGTGTAAAATCTCAGCTACAGCCAAGAAAAGAAATAGATCATGTGGGGACCTATGATGATAAAAGCCTACTTCCATTGTCTCTGTTGATGGAGAAAATAGAAGAATAATCATCTAAATTCTCATAATGCAGACACCCATTCCAAAAATCTAAATATTCATCAAAAGGACTCAAACAGCTTCACTGAGGTAGGCAACCTTTTTTCACCACTCCTCACTTTGAATTTCAACTTCTAAACTTTGAACCTTTTTGAAGTAAGTAAATTTTTTTTGTTTTTAAGAAATTGATTTATATAAAGTGTTAAAGAAAGCTGTTAAAATCCATTTGTTGTTAAGGAAAACATTTGTTTTACTTAAACTGTGGGTTTTTTAAGAGAAAAACTGTTTTGTATTTGAAAGAATTGTTAACTAGTTAACTAGTCTTGATAATTTAAGACACACAAGGGAAATTTTGTGCAGGGCCTATATTGTAATTTGTACTATTTGTATATGGTGAAAAATATATTTGTCCTTGTAATGTTTGTTTCTTTGCACATTTCACATCAGAATAAGAGTTTTGTATTCTCCCAATAACTCCTTTTAGTATAAGTATGTCCACAACAGCAGTTAGGATTAAGAATAAAAAATAATATCTGTAAATACAGGTATTTTTGTCCTGTGTATTGTTAAAAGTCAATTTGTGTTAACAATAAGTAACACAAAGAAAATTTCTTTCAGACAACTGACCTGTAAAGAGGGGGTGCAGCTCTGTCTTCATAGGCTTGGTCAGCCCACATGATATGGTTTTCACGGCTCGATAATGGTTTATTATTTGTCAGCAATGATTCATCTTTACTGATATTCTGTAAAATATTAATAATATTAATCAATATAGAAATATAATAATAAGTGAATTTATCATGCATTTAAATAAAAGTTACTGGTCAAAGATTCCTCAAGTGCCTGAGTGAACACATCTTTTGGTTCGTCATGCAATGATCAACTTAAACAGATAATTACATTTATTTACAGTTTAATCTTTGATTCTTCATGAGAATTATTGAAATCATCCATAGGCTAAAAAGAAGTTAGCAATGTAGGATAAATGTAACAAATAAAAATAAGAAGAAATGTTAGGTTGAAACATCAGACCAATTTTCACAGTTTTGAGTCTTTTAGTTATAACTCACCTGCAAGATTCAAATTACAGAGAACCAATATTATTTACAAAGTCACATGTTCCTTAAGGAACTGTGTTCCTGATCAATCCAAACTCGTAAATAATTATATTGGATATACTACAACATGCCAAAGTAGATTCACGATACATCCCTCTGACCATAGCTCAATTAGGTCTCATTTAAATACATATGGAGACCTATCAAACTCTCTGCAATATACTCATTGATAATACAAAGATAATAGCCTCATCCACATGTAAAAAATGTTAAAAATAATGGAAGCATTATTAATAAAAAAAAAAAGAAAAAAAGCCAACACTTAATAATATCAACTATAGACATGGCCACAATGTGCTGACCATGTTTGGAAAACAAAATATTCCTGTAATTCTATATATATATATATATATATAAAAATCCATACAAAAAATAAAATTCATCCTCAATAATAGCTAAAAGTATAGCCAAAAGCGCTTGAACATAAAAAACACTTGGACAATTTCTATATAATTTATGTCTGGAAAAAAAAGAAAATTATAAGAACACTAATTAAATATAAAACTTAACCGCAGTACCATGTCAGCTGTTTTAATGAAACTTGTATAAAAGAGGGATTGCTGCACAAATACATAAATACAAATATAAAACTTATATATACCTACATTTAATGTTTCCTCTAAAATATTATCTGCATCTTCATCATGTAATAATTGTATTAAAATATTAGATTCATTGCCAAGACTTTAAAAATATATGTTTTTTTGGTTTTTAATATCTTAATTATTAATACTTTTTCAAAGCTGTTAAATATGTTTACTTGATGACTTTATTATTGGTATGACATGTTCAATTACCATTTTTATAATGTGAGACTTGATGAAGAATCCCATCATTGAGTAACAAAATTCTTTTAAATTGGTTCTATTTGCAATAATAGACAGATAAAGTGGCTAACATTTAATTTTTTTGAGAAAAAAAATCACAATGTTATTCTGGAATTCAAAACATCATATTGGAAAATCTTTGAAATATTTGATATAATAATTATGTCATGTTAAACTGAAACATGATCAATAAAAACAACTTGATAATAAAAATTAGAAGTTAGCTAGATTCATTATTAACAAAAGTAATCTTTTTTTTCCTTGTAATCAATTTTTGAGTATTTTAATTTTGTTTATCAGAGAGAATATTATTTGTTAACAAAGATAATCAACCCCCAGAGAGTGTAGAAATCATTCAATTGGCCAATGCTGATGATAAAATTCCTTGATCTAAATGTATGTTTTAAAGTGACATAAAAGATATGGATAAAAAGCACAACAGAGAAAGTTAAATTAGTTTAAAGCCAGTCTAATTCAATATGGAATATTTCTTTAAAAGACAACTTAGTCTTCTGTATAAAAAGGATTTAGAAAAAGAAATTGAAAAATGAGCAGATGTTGGGACTTCTTGGACCAAAGAAGTTGAGAAAACATCTGAATTGGAAAGAAGAGAATGCTTCAGTTCTATTAAAATTGTAAAAAAATGTTTCATCATCTAAAAAGACTGTTGATGGCTTTTGGAAATGTGGACATAAAGAACTAAAAGCTAAATAAGTCCAGCAATAGTTGGTTGTTTTTGTTTAGCAGTATATCAACACCTCTATCATTTATTTAATGCTGAGATCAAATATTTTGTACACAGTTTTATTTTTACTTTGGAGATAATAATGGTTTTAATTAACCCATAGCTAAGAGAAGAGGGTGAGTCATACCTTTCCCAAAGGTATTTACATGTAAGTCAAAATAATAAACAAACTGGAATTGGAACTGATTAACAATTCCGAGTCATTATCATTTACACCACCTGCACATCCAAGCTTACAGTACCTGGTATCTCCAAGCAGTCATCCATCTAGATACTAACCAGGATCAACATTGCTAAACTTTGGTGATTGTATGGGAACCAATGTTTCAATGTGATGTTGCCTTAAGCCTCAGCAATAGAGTGTAGCAGTGGAAAAAAGAAACAGCTTCAAAGTTATTTTTGTGATGATTAATACAAGAGGTGGAGTCTTAATAATTGGGAGGGTAAGAATTCTTCTCAATATGTAATGAATAGCAGTGGGGGTATTGCTAAAAAGGGGGTTGGAAAATCATTTAATGGGTTAAAAAGAGCAAAATTAATTTTTATGTGGTCACAATTTTTTTTTTTTTTTACTACCACAATCACAAGATCCATAACCCATTATGATTGTAGGGGAACCACATGTACTTCAGCTGCAGGTGTGTCTTGGGCAATATAGCCTGACAGAGCCCAACCTCTCCAGGCTGGTTTGAATTCAGAGTTTTCTTTCTCCTAGACTGGCTGCCAACTAAGGCTATAGAACTCAATCTGTCCTGCTATTTACCCATAACTGGGTAGAATAAATGAATGCATACCTTTCCTATGCGTATTAGCATGTAAGTGAATGCACTGAACTCAACTGGAATTTGAACTTGAATCTCCAATTCCTCAAACTGAGGGTATAACCATTACTCCACTACACCTCCTACTATAAGTAAACTTAATAAGTATAACTATTTGAAGCATAAAAGACTAAAGTCAGTTGTTATGTATTTTTAATGAAAACATGCTAATTAGCAGAGATAGTTTCAGAAAGACAAATTTCTGTTATCCAAGTTAAAAATGCTAATAATAATATAGAACTTATTTGGCAAGATGGCTGTATTGCATTTCCAATACAAAAAAAATCTACTTCTTACCTCTACTGCTTTAGTGGGTTTATTCCTTAGAAAAAAGTCATTTTCATCTCTAGGCTGGGTTCTTTTTGTAAACTAGAATTTATAAGAAAAAAAACAAAGAAGCTAATTAACTTTTTATTAAATAGTTTTTAAAGAAATAATCTCCTCAAGAATAATGCACAAGATCTTCTTAATCTTTATTTCTCTATTTTCTATTTGCATCAAGCTTTCAATAAAATACTTTATCACACAGATAACATGTTTCTTTTTGCATAACTTCTTCTAGGTGATTATGGCTCTCCATAACTTCCTTTTTTTTGTAGCTATTAGTAAGGTTTGTCTTTTCACTGTTTCTCCTAATCCCTGATCTGCCAACCATTTACACATGCTCATTAGGTATTTGCTACTTTCCTTTATCTCTCTTGCCTTCGATGACCTGTGCATGTCAAATTCTCCAAGCCCTTTTTCCTCATTATGCAACCTAGAAATTTCAACTGTCTCTAGTTTAACACTTTTTATCTTCCACCAGCATGACTGATGCTAACTTCCAGAAGAGCCTTCTTGGACTAATGTTTTCAGCTGATGTGAAGTGGAAAGGGTATACCAAATCAATTGCTAAGTCTGCAGCAAAGAAAGTTTGTTCACTATGTTGTGCTAAACAATTTTTTCTCTTTAGAATCTATCTTACATATTTATAAGTCTACTATTTGTCCTTGCTTTGAATATTGTTGCCATGTCTGATCTGGTGCTCCTGCTATATATTTAGAGATTCTTGATAACATCCAAAGTAGAATCTGCAATGTTATTGGTCCTGACCTGTCATCTCAACTTCAATCCCTTTCCCACTGCCATAACTTAGCTCCCCTCTGCCTTTTCTATAAATTTTTTCATGGTAATTGTTCTGATGAACTTTTTGCTATGGTACCTAGACCTTATGAATGCAGTACTCAATTGGCAGGTGCAAGTGTAAGTTCTATGCTAACAGTTTCTTCTCTTGCACTTCTCACTTGTGAAACTCTCTTCTGGCTTCTTGCTTTCCAGTCAACTTTGATCTTCAAAATTTTAAATGCAATTATCTTCTGTCTTCTGAATTCTTATTCTTTTATTGCCCTCTCTCATTAACAGTAGTTTTTTCATATTCTCTAACACTCAGTATCCCCTTGTGTCTTAGTGGCTTGTTTAGGGTGAAATGATTAAAAAGAAAAAAAAAGAAAATTGTACTCCAAGTATAAGTATCCTATTTGTTTCCATTGTCTTTAGAACTTTGTCACTGCTCACATGCTCGGCCCATAGTATTTTCAGCATCCTTCTGTAAAACCACATTTCTGTTGCTTCAAGTCACTTCATCTGTGAGGAGATTGTCCAGCATTCACTGCCATATAGGAGGACTGATATTACATCAGTACTCTTTTCTTTGATTCTAATGAAATGTTCTGTTTATTAAACAGATTATCAAACTAAACAACTTTAATAGAAACTAAATGTAAATTGAGCATTAATTAGGGAAGGTTCAAAATTATAACTGCTCAAAGCATCATTGTTGTACTTATAAAATCTATAACATCACATAGTATATTTTTTTAAGTTAGTTAAGTACATTGAAAAATTGGTAGAGAAATATGATACAATACACCACATTCTTTTACCATATAATTATATATATTTGTAGAATTTGACCTCTGTACAGATTGAAATCTAAATTTTTAAACCCAAATTTGAAATGTTATATATGTCATGCTAATTCCAGTGCTTTTAATAATTAAAACATTTAGCACTCTGTAGGTGACTTCTTTTAATAAGCAAAAAAATTATCCTGCCATGACAGGTGTCTTCAATTTCTGAATAAATGTTGTTTTTTTTAATTTCATGGTTGTGTTATCATGTCCTGCTACAGCAATAGAAACTGACCTTGATTGAAATCCTTAACAAGATTAATGCAGTTAATGGGCCTTGAGAAAGAATATATACTTATAAATAATGCAGGGTTTTAAAGACTATAGATAAAAAAAGTTCACAGAAGAAGATAAAAAATTATACCAGAGTTAAAGGTAAACATTTACCAAAATATTCTTTTTTGAATATCTACGATGAAACATTGTCAATTATTATTATTATTATTTTTTCAATTAGTATTTCTTTCATCTTAATTTCAGTTGCTTTCTATTATAAAACTTTGTTAATTTCAATTGCCATGGGAATAACTGCAAAACACTTTCCTTTCTCTTTTTATAAGCAGAAGCTTACAAATGCATGCTGGGATATTTTCTTGGCTGGTTTGCAGTTTCATATGATTCAGTCCCAACCTGCTGAGTCAGGCTATTTGCTGCAAGGCTCGCAGCTGGCTTGTTGAACTCTCTGCCTTGGGCAGAGAGGAACCCAGATGAGGCTATGCCTTAGACAAACCCAACCCTGTGTATGCAGGGTCGATGTAGAATTTTTGATCAAACCTACAGGCTAAGAATCACCCCACATAAAAAAGGCCTTTAGTCACATCCTGCCTTGTGGGAAGGCTAAAGTAAATAACCTCAGTCCAATCAGTCTTGAAGTCAGAATGCTACATTCACTTGTCCAAACTTGCTTTTGTGTGTCAACACCAATTCTTAGTTTGTAAACTTTTTGTCCTATTACTGTTGATTTGTCTTGCATATATTTTTTGCTTGCTTTATTTTTTTTTCCTTGTTCTTTTCTTTTTCTTGTTATTGCAAACTTTGTCAATTCTGTTTGTTGGACAGTTCTCTTATTTATTTTTGCATTTGACCATAGCTATTCACTCCATAATCGTAAAGCATGATTGTCAATAAGCAATGCAGAATGGAAATCAGTGGAGGCTTATTCTTTATTTCTGATCTGTATTGCTTACTATCACTAAGAGTACAAGTTGAAATAAAGTTGAAAAATAAATAATAAATGCTTATGATTTCCTAATATCAGATCTTCAGCAAATATTACATGTTGAGGTCAAAATACACAAATGAGAAAGAAAGCAAGTTACCTCGGCTAGGTGATTTCTGTAATCCCTTTCTCTTTCTTCTTTTAATTTCTTTTTCTTATTTTCATATTCACCAAGGTTGGCAAAGAAATCATTTTGCTCTTCTTTCTTTGGTTGTTTCTTTTTGGAAAGGGAACTTGGGACAGAGTTTTGGGGTCTTTCCTTATCAACCAGAAGCTGAAATTAAAGTAAACTCTAACATTAATGAAATATTCTTTTCTTAAATGTTTGCTTCATTTACTGAAAATTAAAATGGTAAATCCTGAGACATAAAAGAGTTAAATATCATGCATTAATGATTAAAATCACACATGTATGGTATTTATTACCCAGATCAACAGACACCTGAAGAAAGCCTGAAGGTACAATGGTTGAAACAGTGTGGTAATAAAAACAAAAGATATGGATATTATTACAGTATTCTGACTGGAAATAAAAAAAATAATGATAATTTCTTATCCAATTAATTTAAAATTAAATTTAATTAAATTAAAAGCTATTCATATGTGTTTACTGTTTACAAGAATTAGAAGACATGAAAAAGTCAAATCAAAATATCCAATCAATGATACCTATTAAAATAGATATGTTTGTATGCAAGGTAGATGGACAAAGAAATTCAGATGTGTCAGGATAAATAAGACAGGAACAATTTATGTATAACATGGTTCAAGGATTACCAAACAAGTACAAAACACTGTAGAAACATTGTTTTAATAATTCTTGTAAGAGAAACATATAAGACCAAAATAGACATAAGATTTTTATGAGTAAAAATGTGTTCAAAATCTATCAATCCATAATCTTAAAGGTTCTTCTATGTTATGAGTTGATAGATGATTTTCTTTAAGTGCTTTTGCTCTGATAAAGTGATATATGAGGCATCTACTCTAGGAGGTGGTTGTATGTACGAGATAGGTAATTGGTTTATAACAAGAAACAGTCTTGTACTGGACAGTGAAAATGATACACTAACACACACACTACTAAAGAAAAATTAAACCTGTTCTTGTGACCAACAGACAGCTTACCAGACGAGTTAACACTTTAGACAAGAAAAAAATCATGAAGGAAAGAAAGAAGACCAAAAGGCAAACAACTACCTACACAGTAAAGTGCGCAATGATCAGAGACCACCTAGACAGAGCAAAAATACTTCACGTCAGCAATTGACAAAGGACAACTTCAACCATTGCTAAAGTTTCATACTCTCATGACCTTCAGGTGATTAGAATGCCCATATATACACACCATCTTCAGTTCAATATATATATATATATATATATATATATATATATATATATATATATATGTATGTGTATAAAAGGAATTAATGGAATTTTTTTTAATTCATAAACCAACAGTTATTCTTTTTACTTTACTTTTCTTGCATTTAGCATGCTGAGCCAAACAGTGGTTTTCCTTATAAGGAGGGCATGGGTTCAAGCCCTGGCAGAAGGCACATTGTTTTGTTTTGTTTTTTATTAAGACTTGATTGCAAAGGCAGTAGACATAAATTTATACTTTTAAAAACTAAGATGTCTACTCAAACATGTGTATCTACTAAATATAACATTTAAAAGTAATATATATATATATATATATATATATATATATATATATATATATAAGTTTACCATTTGTCCATGCTTAGAATATTACTGCCACATATGGTCCAGTTCTCTGCCTATATATTTAGATTCTTGATAAAATCCAAAGAAGAATCAGTAATAATATTGGTCCTGACCTGGCATCTTGGCTTCAGTCACTTCCCCACTGCCATAAAGTTGCTTACCTGTGACTTTTCTATAACTACTTCATGGTAATTGTTCAGGTGATCTCTTTGCTATAGTAACTAGACTTTATGAATAAACAAGGTCTGGCAACAAGGTTTCATTGATATACAATTGAGTTGGCTTGATGTAACCATGAGTTCTATGCTAACTGTTTCTTTTCTTGCATGTGGAACTCCCTTCCAACTCCATGCTTTCTAGCCAACTTTAATCTTCAAAAATTTAAATACAATGTCAATCGATCTCTTGCTGTCCTCCCAATTATTCTTCTGTACTTCCACTTTATTAGTATTTCTATATTCTAATTCTTCTACACATAGTAACCCCTTGTGTCTTAGTGGCTTTAATGCCTTGCTTGTGTGAATTTGATTTATATATATATATATACTTTGTTTTTTAGAGTTGTAGTACTTGTTGCATTTGTAATTTGCATGTTGGGTTGTTCCTTTTGCTTACAATCATATATATTCTCTCTTCTTGCAATTGATGGTTAGTCCTTTCTTCTCACTTTCCTTCACTACCTTTTGTAGTAGTTCTTGTAGTTTCCTTTATGTATCTGCTATCAACACTGTGTTATCTGCATATTTTATGTTTTTAAGGTTGTAGCTGCCAATAATGTATCCTGGTAGGACTTCTAATTCTCTCAAATTCACCTCACTGTATAGGTTGAATAAGTCTGGTGAGAAGACACATCCTTGTCTTACATCCCCTGTTTATTTTTGTATATTTACTGAATTAATTTTCTATCCATATGCAGACAGTTTGCTGCCAGTGTAGGTTCTGGATTATTCTTATATCCTTCCAAAATATGTTGAGGTTACCTAGCAATTTTTATACTTTACAAGAAAGAAATTTTATTTTCAAAAAAAGTACAGATTTGAGTCATTTAGCATGTTGACATTGCACAACACTGGATATTACTATATATGTTCACTGCAGGTGATCATGGTTGTCCACAATATATTCTTCTTTAATATCTGTGAATTGTGAATAATCATGACTGTTCTTAGAACAGGTTGTGGGAGTTTTTTTCCTGTTGCTATCTCTATGATTTTGAATTCAGAATTATCTCTCTCCTAGATTGGTTGCTCTATCAATGCAAAAGCACTTAGTCTTCCCTATTATTTCATCTACAGCTGGGTTTGGAAGAGAAAAGATGGAGTTGTGTCTTTTCTAAAGGAATTAACATGAAGTGAATGCAAGAGTTTCAGGCAGAATTTGAACTTGGCCTGCCAAACCCTTTTGCCATGCTGATAACTGCTACACTACAAGTACATACAAAGTTGGTGGAATTCAACTAGCATCTCAACAGGAAATCATCAATAAAGATTTTCACTATTTTTTAACATTTCAAATTACTGAAATTGAAAATTACTTGAATAATAACAAGCAAGAAATTGACATAGTAACCCTTAAATAAGTTACTATTTTAAAAATCTATTCAAATTTAATTTCTAATTTTGGTGGTTCTGAATTGTTTTAATGAATTTCAGGGATTTTTAATATCATTTCCATATGAGAGGTATTGGCAACTATAAAAATAATATAGGTATCCTTTAAAATAATAATCTATACCAGAAACTAATAAAATGTAACATTATTCTTAAAACAATATATTACTAACAGCCAGAAAAAGTTTGAATAGCTTTAGAAAGAAATACTCATTAAAAAAAGAAATGATTGTTGATTTTAAAGGCTAAATTGCTTTGCAATTGTAAACTCTTTAGAGAATGACTAAACAAATGAAATGCTTACATTTGTAAAAGAATAAAACAGCTCAAAAATAAATCATGAGAAAGCTAGATTGTATATTTGTTAATTTAACTGTTGGTAAGGAAAGCAATTAGATGTAAAGGTGTTCTTGGCTGACAGATTTTTTAGGCCCAGTTGCCCTGGTGCTGATGAAGAGAGAGGCCTGGAGTGATAGAAGAGTCAGATGTCATTGGTGGAGAAGGGATCCATCAGTCTTCAGGATTGAAATCAACACCAGTGAGGTGTGTGGATGGGCTGACGGATTTCATGATGAGGTCAAGGTGTTGAGCTAATGACAGAACAATGCTTGGTACTGCAAGTATCTAAGTTCAGATCTTAAAACAAACATTATAGCAAAAGTAAATTATAGAATTTATTGTAATATGCTTTAATTTAAAGATAACCTTTGAAAAATTTAATTTCCTTTATTGCTTCCCAGTAATCTTTTTATCCAAACTTTCAGTAGACTTATAAAGAAAATAGAAATCAAAGGAGGATATTCAAAATATGTTTATGACTTACCGTTCCATTTGATTTTTCATGAAGTTCCCTAAGTTGTTGTTCAATATTTTGTATCTTGCGCTCTTCCTGAGGTTTACTTTTGACTGGATTTTGCTCACTCTTAAAAGATTCCTGAACATTGAAAATTAAAAAATATAAACATCCAATAACAATTCATCTTTGGATGATAATAAAAACAAAAGAAATGATCTTCAACAAAATATTGACACAAATTTAAGTTTCCTAACTCAGAATAACAAGGATTTCATTAATTTAAGTTTTGCATTTAATTTTTCATGCATTCTTATAATTTTCTTCTTTTCCAGACAAATTATATAGAAATTGTCCAAATGTTTCATATGTCCAAACACTTTCGGCTATACTTTTAGCCATTATCAAGGATGAATTTTATTTTTACTTTTAACTGAATGTATGGATTATTTTATAAATGTATGTAGAGTTTTAGGAATGTTTTGTTTTCCAAATATGGTCAGCACATTGTGGCCATGTTCATAGTTGATATTATTAAGTGTTGGCTTTTTCTTTTAATAATAATGCTTCCATTATTTTTAGCCTTTTTTTACATGTGGATGAGGCTATTATATTTGTATTATCAACGAGTATGTTGCAGAGAGAGTTTGGTAGGTCTCCATATGTATTTAAATGATACCTAATTGAGTTATGGTTAGAGAGATGTAATGCGAGTTTTCTTGTTAGGCATGTTGTAGTATATCCAATATAATTATTTACGAGCTTAGATTGATCAGGAATACATTTCCTTAAGGGACATGTGAATTCCTAAATAATATTGATTCTCTGTAATTTTGATCTTGCAAATGACTTATTATTGTTGAGAATGAGGTTAGCAGTTTTTATATTTTTATAGTAGATAATTCATTTATTTTTCTTGCTTTGTTGTATATTTCTTTACAATGATTTTAAGTGAAGATTGCTCATAGTGACCATGCATTTGATTTTTATAGAAAATGTTAATGTTATTGTTTTTTTTTCTATATGTTCAGGGTTGCTATTGGTTACCTTAGAAAGAAAATATATGGTGATCTATAAGATTGTTTAGAAAGCTGTTATTAACTGTTGTTTGTTTCCCGTTGTTAAGTTCTTTAAAGAAAAGTGAATGAGAGGATGAATTCTCCTCTGCTCTCATGAGGAAATTTTTATAATATCTATTTTATATCTGAAAGGATATTAACTAGTAAAATTAAGGTGACAAGAGTTTTTACTTGTGGCTTTTTTATTTAGTTTCTTTTTCTTTTTGTTCATGTTTCCATCATGTTATTAGATATCCCACATTGTGATAATAAAAGATCTGCCAAGAAATGTGAAATGTTGTAAGAACCTGGATGTAAATTTACTGTGGACGATCTAGTGATTAAAATACTATCTATATATTTTTGTCTGTTTTTTCTTTTAATTGAAGTAACATTTTTAATCAAAATTGTGGTCAAACTCATTATGGTGAGCAACTAATGCACTGAGTATGTTGTTTTGTAAAAATAGCTAAATTAAATTGGATAGACTATATACATACATACATATATATATATATATATATATATATGTTTAAAAAAGTTTGAAATAATAAGTTTAAAATTTCAGTGTCCCCTCCCCTTCATACACATATGTAGATACATCAATGTAAGTATCACTTTAGTCTGATGAATTCCTAAAGGATGAAATCCATCACACAAAAGAGATTTTCCACTTTTTCATTAATTTTACTTATATATATATATATATATATATATATATATATGCTCTAGTTTTCGGCTCTAGTTTTGAAACATGAGACCTCTTATGTAGCGATTTGGAATCATATTTTTAAATAAATAACTATATATATATATATATATATATAGTAGAGACACAATCACACTTTACCAGACTACACTACCTGTAGGACCCTAATCTAAGCTCAATAAATGTCAAGCTGTAACACGTATCAAATTTTAGTTAGAGAATGTAATGGACTAATATATATTTTTTTTTACTAAACAGAGATCTTGATAACTTCTGGCAGTTTCTTCATAGATACAATACTCTTCCAGTAACCCATGGAGCTTGCTTCTCATCTGCAATATATTCTAGAAGCTCTATGAGCCTCCAATATACCTAACATGTCACAGTATCAAGTGGCTGAGTGGTCACTCAGATATTAGTTCAACTAAACAAGATAAAAGAAAAACTTTGTGCCACACAAAGGCCATATTCTTGGCTTCGATTGGTTGTTTATAACCTCATTTGTAGTCACTGATATAACAACAGGTCGTTGAGCTAATAAACCTGCTCAGATAAAGATTTCTACATCATATATTGTAAGTTATAGTGTAGGTTAAAGGTCAGGGATTTTGTATTGAATCACAGTGACTATCCTTTTCTTTTTTTTTTTTTTAATTACTTCACCCCAGGCAATAAAGCCATTATGATGCAAGGGTTTATTGAGTATGAAAGAATATGAGAAAAGAAAAACAAAATTATTATTAAAGAGAAGGAATAATAAAAGAACAAAAATTAAGAAGTAATGATTAACACTGCATTTAAATGTTTGAAGATCAAAGTTGATCTCTAGAATTAGACAGTAAATCTCTCCTTGGAGATCTGCTATAATTGCAGCTAGTTATTCTTTCAGCTGCATAACAAATGCATAACTGTAACGATCACCTTCACACTATAACAATCAGATATCAAATGACAAAAACAGTTTTGCTATTCATATAGAATTGGCAGCACCCTTAGATTGGGGCCAAAAGTTCAGTTATTCATTTTCAAAATCATTTAGAGAGGTTTGTGAGATCATTTTGAAAACTATTTTTGAAGCTGTCTTTTTCTGTGAATAACAAAATATCTATCTTGCTACATCAGTCATGATAACAACAGGCACTGAAATTTCTACAAGATGTTCCTTCCATACTCCATTACTCATTTCACAAACAATGTCCACTCAAGATGTTGATGCTATACTACATATCACTATACTGAGTAAATCCAAATGTTATTGTTTTATTTTGAATCCTATCTGCTCTTTCCAACTTCACTTATTAGACTCTTGCTTGATATCATGTCATGATAATAATTTTATTTTAGCCAAAACAATTGCCAGCAAACAGCTCATCATTATCCACACCAACTATAATGGAGGGCAAAATCAGAAACAGATAAGAATATACTATTTAACATGCACCTTGGGCATTATTACATGTGTGCAAAAGCATTCAGTTTCCTTTTGCTTTAAAATCTAAAAAATGGATATGCAATTGAAAACAAATTTTGAGTGCCCTGTGTTCAATGCTCATTAAACTTGTGTTGAACCCCCACCCCCCAAAAAATCACAAAAGTAATCTGGCAGCAGACAAGATACAGATGCACACTGCATGTTGTTCCTTTTCAAGTTAGGCAGGAGTGAAGCTGATGATTGGGGTGAAACCTACAGGAATAGTTTCTTGGAAACAATAAATGTCATAAATGGTTTACATAGTTCATTTTATAAGTTAAATTTGAATAAATCATGGATTGATAGACCACAAGAATTTGGAAGTGATAATTTGCAAGTTCACTTGAATGATAATTCCACTAAAATCAGCATTGGAAGTAGCTAAAACACTTGGTGTCAATTACTCAAAAAGCATTTGCAAAATATGGGGAAGATTTAAAAAGCAAGACATTATGTTCCATATGAATTGTTATAGTGAAACACTGAGCACCCCCCACACCATACTCATTTATTCTTTTTCAGTCAGTCAGTTAAGTGCCATATGTGATACATGTTTCAGTGATCATGTCTCTTTTGAGTCATGAATGACTAGATACAAGATTTTTCCACAGTAGGTTGCCATTTCTTTCTAGAGTAGATTGGTTGCCAATCAAGGCTATAGAACCCAGTCTGTCTTGCTATTTACTCATAACTGGGTATGGGGGAGAAGAGATGGATTCCCAAGGGTATTTGTACATAAGTGAATGTAAAAAAAAAAACAACTGGAATTTGAACTCAGCTCTCCAATTTCTTATCCTGAGCTGATATCTATTACATCACAATGCACATTTTTCTTTTTACCAGATATAAAAAAAAATATTTTTTTTGTGGAAGAATGTTAATGGAGATAAACAATGGGTTAACTATAATAATCCACTGTAATCCAAAGTATCATACCTATGATCATCCAAAGTATCAAAAAGCATGGGATGGATCCAAGATAGCCTGCAGCATCAAATTGACATTTTAGTAAAGAAGGTTATTGCAATGTATTTGGTCAGATATAAGAAACATACTCTATTATGAATTGCTGAAACCTGGTGAAACATTTACTGCAGAGTTTTATTCATCAACTTTAAATTTTAAGCACTGCAATTGAAAGAAAAATACCATTTACATAACAAAAAAAACTGGAAAGTCATACCACTTGTTCACATGTTATCAACCCAAAAAGCCATAAAGGAGTTGAGGTAAGAAATTCTTCGTCACAAAGCACATTCACCAGACTTGGCACTGTCAGATTACCATTTATTCCAATCAATACAGAATTCCTTATCTGGTCAACAATTTAATGATAGCATTGATCTTCAAAATCATAGACAACTTTATTGAGCTAAAGCCAGAGATAGAATTCAGAAACTTCCAGAACATTGGCATAAAATTATAGAAAGTCAAGAAAAATATTTTGATGATTACTTAATAAATATGTTTGTACTCATTATTATTAACTAATTTAAAAAAAAAATGACAGTAAGCTTTTGCACACACCTAAGAGGTATGTTGTTTTCAATAAGCCATAATTTAAACTCAATTTATTATCTTTGACAAAACAAAAATTAAACTGGGATTTGCAGTCTTTCAAATCTAGAGTAAAATCAGAAACAAAAATATGAATTCTTCTTCTACATAATCTTACCACCAAATCAACCAAACAATGACACTGAGTCCATATTTTTTATGTGATTCCCTTAGAATTTGAGAGGATTTCTGGGGGTCGAGTCCAGCTATTTCTGTTACCAACTTGATGGAACAAAATCTATCTACTCCAACATGTGCTGTTCCAATGTCAACATTATTTACTTCTTCCTTTTTATTATATAGAAAGAGTGACTTTCTCTATGAGTCTGCTCAAGGAACAGGGGCA